AGCGGATTGAGTACCTTGTTCATAGTTTTCACTTTGTCGCACATAGATGTCGAACATGTACACACTGAGGTGGCAGCCTCTGGCCGAAACTGGGATGTTGTTTTTCCGATATTGGAGAAAACGGTTCCGTGTTGAATGAATCTTGTTTGTCTAGGCAGCCGTATGAGTGCTATTCAGACCTGCCTGATAGGCTTACAAAAGAAAGCATTTTGAAACTATTTAAGGGTACCCAAATGCCATGAAAAGAATTATTTCGGACGAGGCTCAGGGACGCGCCACTGGGGCTAGGCCTATATGCGTCCCTGACGTCCCGCCGGCACTTTTTTAACACCCGATTTTTCGTCCTATCTTGGGGTGGATAAACTTCTTTCGGGTGTTTGGCGACCCGGATATTTTGCACACAATGTACGTATATGCATCGAAACATTTCCCCAAATATATAAAATGTCCAAGGATCCGCATTATTAATGAGAGGCATATTTTGTATACCCTCAGCCATATGGCTAGAGCGGGTGGGTATATATCATTTGATACGGCCAAAATGTGCCTCATCGAAATAACGGTTTTAGACCCTAGGTCTCTTTGGACCAAATCCGTTTCATCGTAATATTGTTGCCAAACTTAGATCGAGTTCGGAGATGGGCAATATCCGTCCAGTCCTGTGGAAGGTACCAGACTCCCACAATTCTCTCCAAAAAAAAAAAAAATGCACAGAAAGAGTAAGGATGATCCGTTTTTGCTCCAACTTTGCAAATTCTAATATTTGCATCTGTGATGGGTCAGGTGCGAAAATGGACAATATCGGTTCTATCCATCCAGTACATCCCCCACAAAAGATTAAAATTTTGAATAATTATAACACTTTTAAAATGTGATAAAACTGTCCGATTCTGTCCGTCACAATATTTTTATTAATCATGAAGCTCATAAAACACCAAAATTACATCCGATTCCATTCAGACTTGCCACATCAAAATATTTCCATCAATACAAGATCTCTCATAAGGATGGTAGAGATCGGTCCATTCCTCCTGGTACCTCCTTCACAAAGGGTCAAAGTTTAAAACGACAAAAACGATCATAAAATATGAAATAAATATCCGGTTCTCTTCAAATTGCACAAATCACAATATTTTTATTAACCCAAGGTCTGGTGTGAAGATAGGATATATCGGTCTACCCCTTCTGGTACCTCCCCCACAAAGGGTCAACATTTTGAGTATACCTAAAGCTCATAAAACGGAAAACTAACATCCGGAACCGATACTTCTCGAACCTCATTTCTGCATTTATTGAATCCAAGACAGACTCATGTTTCCATTAAAGACATAGCTTGTGATACAAACAATTTCCATGTTTTAGTCTCTTAAATATTACCAATTTTTTACGGACTTTATACTCTTCTCAAAAATATTTTCAGTTACTGTCACCCCTGACTTGATAATATTTCCTCTTCATGTGTCAATTTAACCATATCACCTCCTCTTACCTAAAGCCACTAAAAAAACAAATATTTTAATAACTCACATTGTTTTATTAATTGCTGGTAATCCATTAAAAAGGAAGAGCTTATACTCGGTACGATTACGACTATTTAATTACATTAACTGACCGAATAGATTGCATGTTAAAAGTTTTATGACCTTGAAATTTTCTAATAAAATGGTAGTGTCCGAAAAAGATAGGATAGGAATTTTACGCTACCTTAAGTGCTGTCTTCCCACATTCGAAGTAATTTATTATGGGTAGTATGAGTTGTAGCCAAAAGCATTCATACATAATTGATGTTAGCTGGATAGTACATGTGTTCAATGGACAATCCTTTCTTGCAACCAATTTTGATAGATTTATATGTGAAAATTAAATAATATTTTTGGTTTTATGTTATGACTTCATACTTCCCATCAGACAATGTTTTTTGCCCGTATGTTGGCTAAAACAGAAAGTATTTGTTCGACTTGTTGTGATTTCTTTTACATCGACTTTTTGTTGCTTTGTGGCTTTTGTCGGAATGACTCATATTATGTTGTTTCCTTTGTCCTGGCTGTTTCAAACAGGAAGTGTTTATTAGGTTTCTTGTGATTTCAGTCATGGTATTCATAAAAAGTTCTGCAAATTAATTTGAAGACCACTCTCGAGTGTTCCAAAAATGAATATGTGTTAATTTCTCTTTCAAATGTACAAATTAAACAAAAAATAATTGAAAATATTTTTTTTTATTGAAAAAAAAAATCCACTTGCTTTTTCACTAAACATTTGAATATATTCTTTATTATCACTCAAAATTCCCATTATTAATGTTTAAATGATTTATGTATGTAGTGTATAAGCATGTGTGTGTGTGTGTAAAACACCATATTGTTTAACTAATCCTTTTATATTTGTTTATGACGGCTAGTTTTATTTGTTTTACGATGGCCTTACATTCATTCGTCCATTCTCCCGTTCGTCTTCGTGTACAGGAAGTCTAAAAATAGTGACATATCGTGTTTAAAAACAATCTCCCAGACCCGATAACTACAATAACACACATTGAGTATTTGTTTTGTTCATTTTTTCTTTGTATTGCTTTTTTTGTGGATCAAAGCAAACGAACGTACGTATGATGGGGAAAATGCTCGAAATTAAGGACACTGAAGGACTCTATGTGAAAGTTGAGTGGCCTCTCGATTTTAATGTCCGATTAGATGTTTTATCGTTAGAAAATTGGAGTTGATGATGGGAATGGAAAATGCATGGAGAAATTATTTGAAAGTAATAAGTTTAGAAACAGTGACTGACGACTTTCTGGTAAGAAAAGGGTGTTTATAAAACAAAATGTGAGGGGATCAGAAAAATGCCTATTATGGACGGATACCAAAGAGGTTTACTTTTTTTTCACTTCCCACAGCGTCATGTGGTCTAAATTTGTTAAGATGAATTATATAGAACCAATCCTTCTAAAACCTTTTACACAGGGGTCAGAATTTTGAAAAATCAGAAATCCATTGAGCTTTATATCCGTCCACCCGTCTATGGAAGGTATATTAAGTTTGTCATTCCGTTTTTAACTTCTCGAAAACAAGATTTTAGAACCCACAAAATATGTATGTATGTATAACGGAACCTCTCGATATTCGATGTTCTGATAATTTTAGCGACATTGCTCAACGAAATTATTTCAGAGTTGGTACTTGGTGTTGCCCACATTCAATATCAAATAATGTTTCTGCCAAAGTTTTTTTGTCTGAGAATCTGGTTTCGTAGAATATGAAAAAGTCATATACAATTTAGAATGCAATTGAACTATTTGAGAAATTCCATTTCCATCAAATCGGATATAACATGTCGGATGAAGTTTAAATAAGGACATTTTTATACCCTCAGTCATATGGCCAAACCCCTCATTTGAAGAGAGTATCCGATTTCATCCAAACTTGGTACATCGTAATGTTATTGGCAAACTTAGATCGCTCTACTTCTTCTAGTACCTCCCCCACAAAAGATTAAAATTTTCAAAGAAAATTATTTACTGCACAGAAAGAGAAATTATAATCCGATTTTGCGCTAACTTTGCATATCCTAATATTTGCATTAGTGCTAGGTCAGGCGCAAAAATGGACAATATCGGTCCACTCTATTAAGTACCTCCCCCACAAAATTTCAACATTTTAAATAACTCTAATAAAGTGCGATGTAAGAGTCCGATTGTCAAAAAATTCCACAAATCGCAATATTTTTATCATTCCAAGGTCTGGTGTTAAGATGGAATACATCGGTCCAATCCTTCTGGTACCTCCCCCACAAAGAGTCTAAATTTTAAATATTCAGGAAAGCTCATAAAACACAAAATTAACATCCGATTCCATTCAGACTTGGCAGATCTCAATATTTCCATAAAAAGAAGGTCTGTTATGAAGATGGTAGAGATCGGACCCTTCCTTCTGGTACCTGCCCCAGGAAGGGTCAAAGTTTTGAATAACCAAAAGGATTATAAACTCCGAAGTAATCATTCGGTTCTCTTAAAATTACACACATAACAATATTTATTTATTTATAGAAGATCTGGCGTGAAGATGGGATATATCGGTCCACTCCTTCTGATACTTCTCCCTCAAAGGGTCAAAATTTTGAAAATCCATGAAGCTCAAAAAAGCCAAATTAACATCCGATTCCATTCAGACCTGGTACATCTCAATATTTTCATAAACAGAAGATCTGTTATAAAGATGGTAGGGATCGGACCATTTCTTCTGGTACCTCCCTCACAAAAGGTCAAAGTTTAAAATAACCAAAACGATCAAAAAATCCAAAATAAGCATTCGGTCCTCTTCACTTGCTACATATCAACACAAGATCTGTTATACAGATGGTAGAGATCGGAAAATTTCTTCTGGTACCTCCCCCACATAGGCTTCAACATTTTGAAAAACAAAACGCTCAAAGTAAGCGAAATAAACATCCAACTCTCTCCAAATTTCACGCAACAAAATATTTTTACTAACGCAAGATCTGTTGTGAAGATGATATATATCTGCCAACACCTTGTGATACCTAACCCACAAAGGGTCACAATTTTCAATTATTTTATATGTCATAACTTTGGCATAAAATTGGGTATAACTGTTCGATTTCCTTCAAATTTTAACCGAACCAATATTTTTTTTATTTGTATTAGATAAAGTATGAAAAATAATAAAGTATAGAAAATAGTCGATAAAGTCCCAATCTGGTACGTCAGATCCAAATAGGACAGGTTATGGGTCAACAGTTTGAATATTCATAACTCAAGGCTGGGGGTATACAAATGTTGGCAAAACCGACTGATACTATTTTAATTGTTTCATAGAAAGTTTGGTTTATTTTGATCCACACTGTCCATCTACATACATACACAACATACGCACATATGTATAACCACATGCATGTTATTGCCCTCCTTGCAAACAAAACAAAAAATAAACACATTCCTTGTAGCTTCACGCCGAACAACATACATAGCCAGTATTTAGTTCTTTTTTATTTGTCCTGGTGAGAACAACGTTTTAGTTTTCATGGCTCGTCTTTAGCATGATGTCATAAAGTAAATGACAAAAGAAAAAAAAATAAAACAAAAGGATAACAAAGTGTTAATGAAATTTCTCCGAAAAAAGCCTCAACTTCCTACTACAGTATGGTGCTGTCATAGAAGAAGTTTTTTTTTTCTTTGAATAAATCAAAACAAACGGTTCGGTTCTTGGAAAATGTTAATGTCGCCTAAGAATTGTGACAAATTCGTTTTTCATAACGGCCAATTATTGGAGAGGACAGTATTACGTGTCATATATAAGAGAGTAAGTTGAAAAAAGTTGCAACGCGATGGTTTTAAATCATATATATGGTCATTTAAATAATTAATTGCGACTATTTATTGATTGTTCAACCATAAAATAAACCACAGCAGAAGTAATAATAAATGGAAATTGCTTATATTGTTGTTACATCCGCTGATAATTGATAGTAAAATAGAGAATTAGAAATCGCTATTTTATTCTACCATGCCGACAAACATTTTTCAATAATTTATGGAAAATATTTTTTTTTTTTTTTGGATAAGGCCTCATATAAATTGAGGGTTCCTTGTGTCATGTTACACAATATATTACTGCTTCAATTGATTTCCTCCTAAACAATATTTGTAGAATAATTAGCAAGTGATTTTTTTCTCCTTCGAAAGCTTCAACAGATTCTGTTGGAAATTATTATACATCGTATGACTCATTATTTTCACGTGATATATGAAGCGTAAATCTTTTGCTATAAACCTACCGCATATTCCGGTACTGTTGAGGGAAGTCACTGCCATTTTTATTTGCAAAGCTTGGAAATTAAGTAATTTTCTTCAAAAGACTGCAGGTCTATTGGACTTCCACCCTTCAACTAAAAATATTAGCAAGCATAATCGATGTTGAAGTAAGATCTTTATTACCTTCGACCTCGATCAAGTGACCCTGAAGGTTATATCGGGTTATATCGGGCCCCTCCTTCTAGTACCTCCCCCCACAAAGGGTCAAAGTTTTGAATATCCATGAAATTCATAAAATACAAAAATAACATCCGATTCCATTCAGACTTGGTACATCTCAATATTTCCATCAACACATGATCTGTTATAAAGATGATAGAGATCGTACCATTCCTTCTGGTACCTCCTCCTTAAAGGGTCAAAGTTTTTTTTATGACCAAAACTGTTATAAAATCGGAAATAAGCTCCCAGTTCTCTTCATATTTCACACATCCCATTATTTATACTAACACAAGATCTGATGTGAAGATGAAATATATCGGTCTACTCCTTCGGGTACCTCCCCCACAAAGGGTCAAAATTTTGAATATCCATGAAACTCGTAAAACACAAAAATAACATCCGATTCTATTGAGACTTGGTACATCCCAGCAATTCCATCAACACAAGATCTGTTATAAGGATGGTAGAGATCGGACCATTCCTTCTGGTACCGCGCACACAAAGGGTTAACATTTTAGATAACGAAAACGATCATAAAATCCGAAATAAACATCCGGTTCTCTTAAAATTACACACATCACAATATTTTTATTTGTCCAACGTCTGATGTGAAGATGGAATATATCGGTTCACTAATTCTGGTATCTCTCCCATAAAGTGTCAAAATTCTGAATATTTATGAAGATTATAAAACACGAAATTAACTTCCGATTCCATTCAGATTTGGTATATCTGAATATTTCCATTCACACAAGATCTGTTATAGAAATGGTGGAAATCGAACCATTCCTTCTGTTACCTTCCCCACAAAGGGTCAAAGTTTTGAATAACCAAAACGATCACAAAATCCGAAATAAGCATCCCGTTCTTTTCAAATCACACATATCACAATATTTTGATTAAGCCAAGGTCTGGCGTAATTATGGAATATATCGGTTCAGTCCTTCTGGTACCTTCCCCACAAAGGGTCACAATTTATAATACTTATATCTGTCATAAATTGCAAAACAAGTCAGCGATTCTTTTTAACTTGCTTGCCAGAAATCTGATAAAAATATGTAATTTATCAGAATTTATGATTTCGCGTAAAATTGGATATAAATGTTTGTTTTCCTTCATATTTTGAACATACCAATGTTTTTGTCTGTATTAGATGAAGTATGAAAATGGAATACTACGGTCCGCTATATCTGTTACCTCACGCATATTTCCATATTTTCCTTATTTTCCATATCTCTTTTAAAGTATAAGAAGTAGTCCATATAGTCCAAATTGCAATATTTTTATCTGTCTTAAGTCAGATACAAATTGCTCAATATTGGCCAACTGCTTCGAAACCTCCCCCCTAAAAGGTCAACAGTTTGGATAATCATTACTCAAGGCTGGGGGTATAAATCTGTAGGCAAAACCCGACTGATAATATTTTACTTCTTTGAATAAATATTTAATATTTTTAATTCTCCTCTTAAGTTGCCTGATTATTTGTGGCAATATAGGTGAAATGATGACTAATCATTTCCTCCAAAATTACGTGACAAGTTCCTTTGGCTAAAATTACACATTTAACTTCGTCACGGACATTTTAAATTTCTCTAAAATATAACACAGAGGAAAGGATACACTTCTTTGGCCTTGAGTCAAAGGTTGTCCAGCATTGGAATAATTTCAATTGAAAAAAACTTGACTTTTCTTTGTGATAAATTATTTATCAATAACTAACCAGGCAATGGGTTTTGTTCATTCGTATTTCGTATTTGTGTTTGTTTCCCCAATCACCTGGCTATTCTACATGAAAATGTCACCACCAGTCATGGTGTTGTTTAACAATTTATTTTTTTCTTTCTTTATTTTTGCTGAGACAACAACAACAACGACAACAACAATGGAACCGTTTATTCAATTTGAACTTCTTTTGAAAATCGAACATTAAATATTAACCAGTCCTAAGCAGCTGTAGAGCAAGTGACGATGGTTGGATGGGATGGAAAGGTGATTAGTTTAACAAATTATTTGAATACAATTGTTTGTAACTGGAAATATAAAAAAAAGCTTCTATATATACACACACCACGTATATGGATAGTTAAAAAGGGTGCATCGGAAGGTGGGAGGATGGGTGTAGAGGATTAACTTAACTTGACCTAGGATATTAACATACGATTGACATTGAAAATTGACTGGTAGGAAGTAATTACGCTATAATATGTATTTCTGAATGTGCTACGGTATGGGAAAAGAGGAATGAACTTCCGTTTGGTGAGTTTAACGAAATGTATTTTTGGGGGGCGAAGATTGTATTGGAGAGATAGTAATGAAATTATTATCTATTACATATCAATGGCGGAAATTATTGTAATATATTAAAACACGTGTAATTTGTAATCAACCTAGAAAGCCTTTCCAATGAGGAATGGAGAAATGTCCTTCCTAGTGAATATATCTAAGGCCCTAAGACATGTAATCGATGTAAGTCAATATAATTTATCTATTCATTTCGAACTTCATTTGAAAATACAAACAAGTAAAAGAGCTGTAAGTTCGGCCTGGCCGATTTTTGAACACCCTCCACCATTTAGAACGAACTTGGCAATTTTCAAAAAAAAAAAAATGCGTAAAAAGTTCTGTTAAAATCTTAAAAATACCGAAAAATACCTGCATAGGCAACTTTTGTCATAAGCCATTGCAATATTCAAATGCGAAACTTGGAAAAAAATATTCGGTGAATAATGTCGCTAAAATCATCAACATATCGAATAGAGGGAGGAACCATTATTATGAGGGCTATACGAAGACCTGGACCTGCATAGACAATTTTCTGTCACAGGCTGTAGTACCTATTAGGAACTTCAAATGCGAAATGTCAAACAATTTCGAAATTTCAAAAAAATCGTCCAAATACCGAATATTGGGAGGTACTGATATATGGGGCCTATACGAAGACCTGGAACTGCAAAGACAATTTTTTGTCACGGAATGTATTTGCCATTTCGAACTTAAAATTTATCAAACGCCATAATTTTAAGTTTTTTTTTTAATTTTATTGAAAAAATGTCGGAAATAGCATCAAATTTTTGAATAAGTTTAGATTTGTGCGAATTGGTCACATTTGGCACGAATTATGGCCTTCACGAATTATGGCCAATGAAACCGTCACACGCTGCCCGAATGTTGATCTGCGGTATTTTGGTCCATTCCCGGCGAAGCGCTTGCTTGAGGTGATCGACACTTTGGTATTTTTAAGTGCCAACCTTGCTTTCCAAAATACTCCAGACACAATTGTCCAACGGATTGGTAACCGTAGATTTTGGTGGCCACTGTGCGCTGGAATTGAAGCGAGGAACTTCATTTTGCAACCATTCTTGGGTGGCACGTGCTGAGTGCGATGGTGCTGAGTTCTTTTGGAATGTCCAAGGTCTGGGGCCAAAATGTTTGCGTGCCCAAGGCTTTAATATAGCCTCCAGAATATTTTTGCTAGAATATTCGGCATTTATTCTGTTGCCACGGTCGATTAATACGGACGGAGAGCGACCATCGGCTGTTATGGCGGCCCATGGCCAGCGCTTGAGTTCTGGTGGCCAACCGAAGGTGCACATTTTCAGCTGACCTTTTTTTGGCAAGTAAACACGATCATTTTGTTTGTTTACAAACTGCTGGACAAAGAATGTTTTATCATCGGAGCAGAGAAAACCAAATTCGGTAGTTCACCACTTTCGGCCAAGCGAAGGAACTCTTTAGATCTTTTGAGTCTATTTTCTTTCTGTTGCGGTGTGACTTCTTCTTGAATTTCATGGAAATGACCCTACCCCGACCTCATTTTTCAATATTTGCCGAATGGAATATTGCGATATGTTCAACTCACGAGCCCTTTTTCGGTCACTGCGACGCGGGTTCGATCAAGTTGCTTACTTACTTTTCGAACCATTTCTGCTGATGATGCTGTTTTCTTCCGTATACTTCCTTGACATACGTCGGGCTACGCTACCAGTATCACTGTAACCAGCGATGGTACTAGACACAAAAGATTTATTCACATTTAAATGCTGGAGTGCTCCAACGATACCCACTTGTGGTTTTTCAGCCAAATATAAAGAAATCACACTATCTCGCTATGCCGAATTTTTCTGGAAAATTCTTACCAAAATGCTTTTGTTCGCTTGTAAACAATATATTGAGCTGTCACTGGAATAATTTTAACAGCTGTCGGATGAGTGGCTTAGTAATGACAGCAGTCTGAAGTTGGTTCCAGCTTTTTCATCTCACCCTGTATAAACCATACAACTCCCATAAGGGTCGTACAACTCCCTCGAAATTGAGTTTTATAATCCGACACAAATTTATGACTGAAACTTCAATTCACTAGAGATTTAGAATATTTCTGTCATTTACATTGGGATGACCTGCAATTTACATGAGCTTCGATTGTGACATATGTATAGGCCATACAACTTACATAAATTGAGTTAAAATTGAGTTTTATAATCCGACAAAAATTTTTTATTGAAACTTCAATCCACTAGAGATTTAGAATATTACAGCCATTTACATTGGGATGACCTGCAATTTACATGACCTTCGATTGCGGCATATGCACATATTATCAGAACTATTAATATTCACATGTTTTTTTTTTTTTTTTTGTATTATTTTCATAGAAATCAGCAAGATGTCCGAGTACTGGCTTATTTCAGCCCCTGGCGATAAAACTTGCCAGCAAACTTTCGATACCATGAACAATCTCACCAGCAAACAAAACAATTTGTGTAACAACTTCAAGTTCCACATTCCCGATCTGAAGGTAACAATCCCCATATTTCAAACACAAGAAATTTCAAATGATTTTTTATATATAAATGTAATCCATAGGTTGGTACTCTCGATCAATTGGTGGGTCTTTCCGATGATTTGGGTAAATTGGATACTTATGTTGAACAAATTACCCGTAAAGTTGCTGCCTATTTGGGTGAAGTGCTGGAAGATCAACGCGATAAATTGCATGAGAATTTACTCGCCAACAACAGTAAGTACAACAATTAGTGTAGATTTTTTGATTAGAGATATGTTTAGTTAGTTTTAATTTTAAAAAAGTTAAATCATAGAAAAATTAGAAGGCATTTACTAACTTTTTTTTTGACTAAACGAAATAATCAAACTAGTATTTTATATCTTTTATTTTTTGGGAATGACAAAAAAACTAACAAATTTTAATGAAAAACAAATATTAACAATTAAAAAAAACCGTAGTCTTAAACTATTTTAATTTAATTCCATATTATTCTTCTTTATTGAATGGTAGTTACATATAAACAAATACATTTATATTTAATATTTTATCTTTTCGAAAAAAATTAGAAAATCTACACAACAAATTTATAGAAGATTTAAAAACTAAACGTTTTTCAATTGAAAACATCAGGTTCTCTATTTGAACGTAAAGTAAAGAGTTTTTCACTTCTTTTCCTTATTTAGTTTTATTCTATTTATTTGTTTCTTTATTCTATTTTTCTTTTGTTTTGAATTTTATCTATTTTCATTTTGTTTTGATTATTATCTATTTAGTTCAATTTTGTTTCTTGAACTCATTTAGCACCACATCCATTACATACATCTCTGCCAATCGATAATCCATTGGCAGGGTTTGCTTCTTATATTCTCTGTTCAAAAAAAAAAATGAAAGAAATCCGATTTTTTTGGACGTCAAAATAAAATTATTGTATTTGATTTCTGTGAAATTGTTCTTATTTTATGTTATTTATTACAACAATTGATTATGTGAATTGTATATTTATGCGTAACAAACAAACATCACAAACAACAACATCATCACCACCATACACAACTACTAACCCAATACTCATATATTTTGTTTTGAAGTTTTGGAAAAGGAAATTCATATATTTTATATCAACTACACAGTGAATTAAAATTAGCATCGTATACATTTTTATAGAATTGACGATTTATTTTTATTTGTCGTACAATTTGGGAAGAAATTACAAAAACAAAATAATATGACATTTGTTTCTACTCATCTATTCCTAATCCATCGCTGTTAATATTCAATAAAAAAATTATATATTGCAAAGAAAACCGACAACCTACTCTGTAGCCACTTAAAAAGGCCATATTTGGAAAGTGGAAAGGAAAGGCCATGATTGGAAACAGTTGAGATATGTTCAATAGTTATATCAGAAAACATTTTGACTTTATGGTCTTTAACTTAAGGCCTATTTCTATATTTCATTACGGAAGTAATCTCAAAAAAAAAAACATTTTCCATTAGTCCTTTTATTTTTTGCCCTCCACCGTGGTATGGAAAGAGGATATATTAAAATTGTCACTTCAGTTGTAACACACACAAAGTATATATGTTCTTGATCAGCATCAAATTAAACGTCCTTTAAGCGATGTCCGTCCGCCTGTCTGTCCGTCTGAGGAAATCACAAAGCTTCCCAACGAAATTAAATAAATTGATAAAATTTTACTTAGATGTATTTTATAATTTTGATATTTAAAATGGTCCATATAGGCTTACAATTTGGTATGACAATCCAACCATCAGGAGTTTTCCTCGTATCGCAAATACGATAGCGTTTTGTTTTGTTCCTAATACAGGGTGATATACAAAAACTGCAACAAACTCAAACGCCATAATTTTTAGTGCCAACCTTGCTTTCCAAAATAATCCAGACACAATGACCAACGTATTGATATCCGGAGATTTTGGTAGCCGTTGTGCGCTGGAAATGAAGCGAAGACCTCATTTTGTAACCATTCTTGGGTGGCGCGTGCTGATTGCGATGGTGCTAAGTCCTGTTGGCAAAAATGCCCTAGGTTTAATACACCCTCCAGAATATTTTCGTGATAATTTAGACATTTATTCTGATGCCACGGTCAATTAAAACGAGCGGAGAGCGACTATCGGCTGTTATGGCGGCCCACACCATCACCGTGGCCGGCGATTGAGGTTTTAGACCCTAGGTCTCTCGAAGGGAGTGTCAAATCGAATACTCTTGTACTTGGTACATTGTAATATAATTGTCAAACTTATATCGAGTTCGGAGATGGGCAATATCGGCCCACTCCTTCTGGTGCCTCCCACACCAAATGTCAAAATTTTCCATGAAAATAATTTACTGCACAGAAAGAGAAACGATAATCCGATTTTGTTCCAACTTTGCAAATCCTAATATTTGCATCAGTGCGAGATCAGGTGCGAAAATGAACAATACCTCCCTGACAAAGGGTCAAAATTTTGAATAATTTAAACTCTTATAAAATGTGATGTAAATGTCCGATTGTCTTCAAATTACACACTTCACAATATTTTTATTAACCCAAGGTCTGGTGTGAAGATGGAATACATCGGTCCACTCCTTCTGGTACCTGCCCCACAAAGAGTAAATATTTTGAATATCCATAAAGCTCATAAAACGTGAAATTAACATCCGATTCCACTCAGAATTGGTACACCTTGATATTTCCACCAACACAAAATCTGCTACAAAAATTCTAGAGATAGGACCATTCCTGCTGGTACCTCTCTCACAAAGGGTTAACATTTTTAATAACCAAAACGATTATAACATCCGAAATAAGCATCCAACTTTCTTCAAATCTAACACATCCAAATATTTTTGCTGTTCTAAAGATGATGTGAACCCCTTCAAGTATCTCACCCACAAAGAATCACAATATTCAATACTTTTATCTGTCATAAATTGCAAAAACTCAGCGATTCTTTACAACTAGCTATATCTAAATAATTCTCTCAACCAGAAACCTGAGATGAATATGGAATTTATGATTTCGTATAAAATTGGATATGAATGTTCGGTTTCCTTCAAATTTTACACATGCCAATATTTTTATCTGCATTAGGTTAAATATTTCTAAAAATTTGCACATATTTCAAAGAGTACAGAGAGTAGTCGATATAGTCCAAATCTGTCATATTGTGATATTTATATCATAAGTCAGATATGAATTGTCAATATTGGCCAACTGCTTCGGGACCTCCCTCATAAAGAGTCAAGAGTTTGGATAACCATAACTCAAGTCTGAGAGAATACATCTGTCGGCAAAACCGACTGTTACTATTTTACTTGTTTACTCTAAAATTCAGCCCGATGTACATCGCTTATTTGAATTGTTTTGTTGGTTATAATGGAAAATATGGTCTAGGACCCTAGGACTAGTTGGGGATAGAGATACATTTATAGAGGCTGAATGGGGCAATTCCTACCCAGTTTGAGTACTGTTCTGTTTTCTTTGAAACCGGTATTAATTTTAATCTTCTCTCGTAGTTAAAGTGCTGCTTATTTTTGGTATCTCGGTAAAGGTTATATACATTTATTATTAATAAAAATAATTTTGATTATTTTCCGATCTTTATTTTGTTTCCTATATAAATAAAAAATCACATTTTTAAATTTGAAATAACAACAGACAAATAACATTTTTCTCTTTTGTAGGATTTTTTACATTAGTAATTCTTTATATTTATTCACTGTGTCCAATTAAATATGTCAGGCCTTAAGGATACACTAAGAGATTATCTAAAAACAAACATACACTAACAAATTATCTAAAAAACAAACATAAACCCAAAAACACTGTACACTGTATTATTTATGTAAAACCAATTCTATCCCTCTCTCTTCTCTGTCTCTATTTCCCCAGCCAAAAGCCTACATTCCAGTGTTGTTTCCCATCGTCATTCCAAGTTTCCCATTTGTCTAATTTTAAGTTTTTCTTTTCAATTCGTTACTTTCATTTCCGTTACATTATTATGTTGTTTCATTCATTTGAATCAAAAGAGAAAACAAAAACTCGAATCATGTGTTTCTTTTCTGTTTTCTTTTTTGTTTTTGCATTTCTTAGGCAACCAAAAACAGTGTTGTTGTTGTTGTTTTCTAACCATTGGAAAACAATTAGTTTTTAAATCATTGCAAAATCTTAAACAGATAACAAACAAAACCCCCCCTATATAAAACAAGACGACTCACACGTACAGCAGAGAGTCTGTATGTAGTAAATCTCAGAAAAAACAAAAACTCATTTTAATGATTTTTCTTAACTCTCTCTTTCGCTCTTCTTCAATTGAATCATATATTTCATTTGTATTTTTGAATTTTGAAATATGTTAAACGTTCTTGCTCACATTCTCGTTGTTGTTGTTGTTACTGTAACATATCCTTAATTTCAATTTCGTTTTTAGTGATGTTTGTGTATGTTGTATATTGCATATTTGTACATAATATACATGTTTATTTTCAACTATAGATTTTTTTACTATTAAATAAATCAGTCTTTATATAATTTGCCAACATTTTCTTATAAAAAATTTAATTTTTGATTTTGTTTCCTTCGATTTTCATTTGCGGCAAATGTTTTGTGCGTGTGTGAAAATATGCATTGTTCTGTTTTTGTTTTGATTATTGCAAAATTATTTTAAAAAAATCAATTCACTTTGCACCTTTTTCTCTTCCCTATATTTTGGATAATTATTTTGTTTTCTTCTCCCTCTTGATTTTTATGAGTTTAATTTCTTTTTAGTTGTTTTTCATTTGACTTTCCTAAAACTTGATCTTCAAATGGCATCAGCAGAAGTTGCCAAAGGGTGGGATGTAGGTAGTGGGAACACTTTAGATTAAGTTTCACAGAGCACTACATGAAAAATTAAGGATGTAAACATACATTAAGAATGCCACGAAAAATTTGTAAAATTTCAATGATACGAATCTCAAAAAGTGGGGTTATGGTAAAATATATTTTATTGAATTTTCAATAGTAATCTTATGTTTTTAATGCAAAACAAAATGTAAGGTAATTAATTGCATTTATAATGAATGGTATTGTCAAGTATTTTCAAACTTAGTAAATATTAATATGAAAGTTGAGGTTATGTGAGAGTGTGGTTATAAAATTTTGGAATAATGCATTTCATTTTATATGTATAAAACGAAACTTAGGTTAGCACTAATAGATCAATAGTATCCTTTTCCATTAAGTGATAACGTGTTAAGGTGTAAAGAAAGGTTTTATTTTATAATTTTAAAAGGCGTTATTGTTTCCCACCTTTAAGTGGGTTATTATAAACATAAAATTATCGAGAGGCTACAGAACGTTTGGCCATGACTTAATGCATTCTTAAGTGACTCTATTTCCTTCTAATGATCATATAGCCTGTAGAATGCAACATTAGCTCTCTGCAATGGCACAATGTTGCGATAACCATTAAATATTAATAATTTTTTAATGAATTTGTTGGCCAAATAGTCTTTGCACCATCCTTCTTGAAACTCAAATCACTCCTCGGTGTATGAAATAGGAGTCAGTCACCGGCAATAAAGCAATAGATGCAACAGCCAAAGTAAATTAAAAGTAAAGTAATCTTTATTTGAGTCTTCTTCTTTTCTTTGACAATGTTGACATTCATTGTGAGTGATTAACATATAATCTTAGAACTATTATTGTCTTGATCTAAGTTATAATTATTGTGTATAAATATGCTACGTGCGAATGGGATGAGGTATAATGTTAAAATAAAACAAAAGAGGGCAATGTATAAAAGAATGGGACTTGCTCGCGGTCTCAGCAATGCGGCAGCCAATTAAATGCTTTTTGGCTACTTACATACAAAATAAAAAAGCGTTCCTGCTGCAACAAAGTCAAAAGCCATAAATTTTACATTTATTTTTGTTTTAATTTTTATTGAATGAAAGCAAAAATATCGAGAATAGCATCAAATTTTAGAATAAGTTTAAATTTGTTCGAATTGGTTACCTTTAACACAAATTATTGCATTCGAACGGCCAATGAAACCGTCATACGCTTCCCGAATGTTGCCCTGCGGTATTTTGGCCCATTCCCGACGAAGCGCTTGCTTGAGGTGATCGACACTTTGATATTTTTTAGTGCCAACCTTGCTTTCCAAAATACTCGAGACACAATAGCCCAACGGATTGATATTCGGAGATTTTGGTGGCCATTGTGCGCTGGAAATGAAGCGAGAAACCTCATTTTGTAACCATTTTTGGTTTGCGCATGCTGAGTGCGATGGTGCTGAGTCCTGTTGAAATGTCCAAGGTCTGCGGCCAAAATGCTTGCATTGCCCAAGTCTTTAATACACCTTCAGAATATTTTCGCAATAATATTCGGCATTTTTTCTGATGCCACGGTCGAGTAATGCGAGCGGCGAGCGACCATCGGCTATTATGTCGGCCCACACCATCACCATGCCTGGCGCTTGAGTTCTGGTGGCCAACCTTAAGTGGTAAATGATGAAGGAATTAGCAGTTTAATAGTCATGTTAAAGGCTCTATAGGTTTTTTCTTTGCAATAACCTCACGTTTTGAAATTTTGCAATTACAGTATTCAGTGTTTTCCTAACCTCTGTAGCATTCTTAAAATCTGTAAAACAAAATTGAAAAATGCAGGATATTTTAGCTGTAAATTATATAATATTTCCCTTACAAAAAAAAAAGTTTATTATAATAAATGTATATGTATGTACCCCAACTCCTCCAATACCAAAAAAAATATATATATCAACGAAACTCCCAACAAAAAATCAAACCAACACTGAAATATATACATTGTGTGTGAATGCTCCAACCAACAACCTTATGATTTCTTCTCAAAAATACATAAAATGTAACAAAATTCAAATTAAGGTCCCGGACCGCCTGATGATTGCTGCACAACAACTACGCATGCCACAACCACCCCTAGCACGACCATACATTCAGATTTAACGGGTAAATCATCAAATCTATCGAATAGCCATGACACAACAACTACCACCACTACAACTACTTCTTGCTCAGTTTGTCCATCGGGAAGTTGCATGAATTTTTCTTCCAACGAAGAGAGTGATCGTGATTTTGATATATTATCGACGGCCTCGCCGCCAACGTGTCCCTGTGATTTTGCTGGCGATGATATGGCAAGCATGGGTGCCACAAGTCCCACTACCGTGGCCAATGATAATTGCACACTATCTTCGGGTAACTCGGTAATGAATCTAAGAACAATTAATCCATTTCAACCGCCAACCACACGTCAACGTCATTTTGGTCTGACATCACCGCTGAGAAAAGAAAGCGGTACCTCCGCCTCATCATCGTTTAATATATCCACAGCCATTACCGCAGCAAATACATGTGCCACTGGTCCAGTCACAACGGCAAATAGTTTATATTTCTGTTCAAGTTCGGCGCCCACAGGTGGAGCTGGTGGTCTAACGGCTCGTTCACTATTCAATAAGTTGACATCCAGTCATCACAACAACAATACATGTAGCATAAATAACAATTCCACCTCCACAACGACCACAACATTATGTAGTCTAACCAATCAAAAGACGACGCCATCAACACCAACACATCACAATAATTCTTCAGGTTCTTCTACGTCTCGTGGTTTTGCTGGATTTTTTTGTGGCAATCATAGTCGCAGTACTTCGAAAATGGATGTCAATGAAAGTCATCAATATCATCAGCAGCAACAACACCAACAGCATCATAACCTAAATAAACAGCAGGAACATCAACAGCAGTCACACAGTCATAATAATCACAGCCATCACCAGCAGCAACATCACTCCCACAGCCACCAACACCATCATCATGATCCACAGGACCAGCATTATGGTGGTCTTGCCGATAACAATCAGCATAAACATTTGAAAAGTAGTGATAGTTTGTCGGATGATGTTAGTGATACATTTGAATGGTGGTTTCAAAGACACAAAAGAAATTCAACAAAAAAGAGCAGGTATAGACAGCCAGCAAGCCAGCCATGCATCAGAACATGATGTTGGATGTCGTCATATTTTCACCATACATTCATTATCCACCCATGCTCTCTGGAATCATTGTTTTTTTTTTTTTTGTCATTTTACTGCGTTATGTCCTCCATGTCAGCAAAGAAGAGGAAAATACGATGTGTCATCTAGCATCGACATATTTTAGTTCGTAGTTTTTCGAAAGCTTTTTATACCCTCCATCATTCTATATTAGCTTTGTCATTCCGTTTGTAACTCCTCGAAATATTCATGATGGAGCCTACAAAGTATATCTATTCTGGATCAGGGTAAAATTCTAAGACGATTTAGAGATGTCTGTCTGTCGGTCTGTTGTAATCACGCTATCCTTCGAACGAATTGAGATAGAAGGATAAAATTGTGCATACATGTATATTTTCCCAGTAGGCAGGTTAAGTTAGTAAATGAGCCATGTCGGTACCTCCAGATATTCGGTATTTTCATGATTTTAATGACATTTTACAGCGGAATCGTTTCAAATTTGGTATTTGATTTTCTTAATGGATACTATAGCCTATAACAGAAAATTGTACGTGCAGGTCCACGCCTTCGTATAGTCCGCATAAAACCGCACCTCCCGATATTCGGTATTTTGATGATTTCAGCGACATTATTCACATTATTCAAATTTCGTATTTGAAGTTCGTAATGGGTACTATTATCTTTGACAAAAAATTTTCGTATGCAGTTCCACGTCTTCGTATTGGCCCTATATAACAGTACCTCTCGATATTCGGTCCTATTTAATGGTTTTCATCTAAGCGCTAATTTTCGAAATTTTTTTTTGAAATTTTTTAAATTTCTTCCATATGGTGGAGGATATTAAAAGTTCGGCCCGGCCGAACTTGTCTGCTTTTTTTACTTGTTTTTATTTTGCGTTATTGGAAAATTTTGAGATTATAATTTTGTTGTTCAATATTCTCAGGCAACCCAGCATATTGTGTAAAAGTTATAAGTAAACCTAAAGTAGGCCGGTCATATGTTGAGCACAATATTTGAAATTAAGTTCGGAAATTTGCACAATAATTGTTATTACCCCAAGAATCAATATAGCCCGATTGTATTTGCCCTACCCAGAAAAAATATTGAATAAAAAAGGTCTACCAAATAACCGGCGTAGGATACAAAAAGATCCTCTTTTCCCAAAAATGTTTTGTTCGGCCGTATTTCCTAAATATCCAAGTTCCATATCTTTAAGCCTACCAAACAAAATCAGAGCAAACTTTCAGAAATAAAAAATTTCTTGAATATTAACTGCTTCTAATTGCCCACATTCACAGTTTTTCTGAAGAATGATTCTTTTAAGAGCTATGATAGCATTATGTTTTCTTATACTACGCAAATCGAAGGTTTTAATGATATGTATTTTTCAACAATTTTTACAATCAAGATTTTCAATATCAAAATCGATTTGACAATTCATTGACCCAGCAGATGTGTCGATGCAACTGCCAAAGCGTTCCTGCAATACGTGACAGTGAAACAAAATACGAAACGTGCGTTAGCAAGAGATTCCTCGCTTTCACCAACTCTTATAATTATAAATTATAAAAAGAAAACAATACTTAAACGAATATATGGAACATTTTTTCATATCTCTCATTTCATTTCTTAAAAAAATGAAGGATTAAATATTAATTTTTGGATTTAATCAACCCATTTTTAAAGATTCATTTGAGAGAGATTCCTGAATTTCACTAACTCCTATAATTATAAATTATAAAGAGAAAACAATATTCACGAATATATGGCACATTATTTCGTATCTCTTATTTCATGTGGAATATGGTGACTTAGTGAGAACAGTATATATTCCCCACAAGTCCATATTTAGAATGGGGTTCCTTTACACGGGCGGTGAGAGATTCCAGTAATGACTTTTCTTTACATAAAATTATATTTTTTTAATCACCAACGTACTTTTTTCTCACGCATCGACCTCATCTCACCCTCATACCACCCATCATTTCACCAAAAACCCATTCTTATTAAAATCTCACAACCACTCACTTATGCTCTGCTCTTCACTATTTGAAATTGTCTACTTTCTTTTTCGGTTTCGTTTTCTTTTTTTTGTGCAAATCTTTTCTTTTTGTTTCGTTTTCTTATTTTTCCTACCACCGAGAATCTACTTTTATCCACGAACCAAAAATCCATTTCAAATGCAAACAAACAAAACTCAAAAAATGCAGTCACTTATCAACGAGTCAATTAAATTTAAACATTGGATTTAATTTAACATCAACTCATAGATCGTCGCCAGTGAGTAGTTGTTGTGGCAGTAGTAGCCATGGTCGTTCCAGTCCGGATATTGATATGGGCGAACCGCCAGCGATGCCCTTGAGTCCAGGTTAGCGGGTTGTGTTTATTCTCTTTCTCTCTGTGTGTGTGTATATATATGTCTGTGTACATATCAACCAAATACCACCACCAGTACTACTACTACAAGTTTTTCCTCCTCTTTCTCTCTTTACTATTTTAATATTCACCAAATAATATAATTATTTTTTTTTTCATACAAAGTTGTAACACGTACATACTTCATACTACATGCAAAGATGATGTGGTGTACGTTGTTAATTTGTGTTTGTTCTTTTTTTATTATTATTTTGCCATATTATAGTTTTTTTCTTTCAATTTTCAGTTGTTGAGTTTGTTTCCTTCCTCCAACCAATTTATTTCACTATTATTTTCAACTCTTGCCGATTTAACTCTGTGCTGATTTTGTTTTTAACCACCAATCATGGTTAAAACGAAAAAAGAAGGATATGATTCCATCACCGTAGTTATAGTCCTATTGAACTACATACACATATATCGATATTTCAGATAAATATTTTTTTGCTTATTTCTCATAAATCTATTTTCTTTTTCAGTATTTTAACTATATAGAAAAACTATGGAGTGTGCATAATTGTCTTTTATGTGTTAATATTATTTATAATTTAAAAAATAGTATTTTTGTTATATATATTTTTACTTAATTTTTGAGTTGTGAATATACTTTTTTTCCCATTTTCACAAATATGTTATTTTTGTTTAATATTATTTTTAAGTTTCAAAGAATGTATTTTTATTGTAATATTTTTGGCACAATTATTGATAATTTTTGAACAATTTTTTTTTAGTTTTTCGTTTTATTTAAAATGGTATTTAAAAATTTGTAGTGCTTGTCAATTGTTATTGTTGTTTATAAAAGAGTATATATGCCTTAAAGATACTGTTCAAATTTGGAAGCCATCACAGAAAAAGGTACAGTTTTTAGATATTTACTCCTTTTGAATGAAATAACCTGAAAATGGTACTAGGTTTTTTATACCCTACACCACATATTGGTAAGGATATTGTTTTTGTGCGAGATAGACCCATAGTTACTTTTGAGGAATCACTTTCTGAGTCGATTTATAAATGTCAGTCTGTCTATCCGTGTATTCTTGTATGTTTATTATACGATTAAGCTGAAATTTTCCAAACAATATTTGTTTGGCACAAGGACGATCCCTATTGAAATTGGTGATAATCGGATCAGATTTGGATATAGCCCCCATATATATCTTCAACCGATTTCGGGTGTATTGTGCACCAAATGGACAATATGAGTCCAAATTACCTGAATTTCGGTACATCTCACAGAAAGAGACGAGAGACGAAAGTACATCAAAGTTAAGGAAAATCTGTTCAGATATAGCTATAGCTTCCATATATAGGTTTCATCCGATTTGGCGTTTTAAGTCTCTCACATGCGCAATATGCATTCGACAACAATGATATTTGGTACCAGATATATTATAGAGCTCGGAAATACCTCTGCCAAATTTTATCAAGATCGGATCAGATTTCGATATAGCCCCCATTTCGGGTTAATTGTGCACCAAATAGCCAATATCTGTCCAAATGACCTGAATATTGGCTTTTCCGACCGAATTAAGTCTAGAAGCAAATACATTAAATTTGGAGATAATCGGTTCAGATATAGCTATAGCTCCCATATTTATGTTTCATCCGATTTGGGGTTTTAAGTCCCTCACATGCGCAATATGCATTCAACAACAATGATATTTGGTACCAGATATCATATAGAGCTCGGAAATACATCTACCAAATTTTATCGATAACGACTAATATTTGGATGTAGCTCCCATATATATCTTTAGTCCAATTTCATGTTTATTGTGCAAATAATGGCTAATATCAGCCCAAATGGAGTGAATTTCGGGACGTACGTTTCCATTTTGTGAAATTCGGTTCCGATATATATCATGATATCATGCGTCAAATTTAGTGAAAATCTATTCAGAATTGGATATGCCTCCTATATATAAGTTCCCTCTGAAACCAAACTGTAACTGCTCTAAAGCCAAATGTTAAGAGGCGGTATGATCTACTTCAAATAAATTCTTTTGTTACGGGAGCTCTACTAATTATGCATAGTGATGTAGGGTATCAATAAAAAAAAACTTATGACATAAAATTTCAGAACATAAATCGAGAAATGAACAGTAAAACTTCTGAATTTATACTGGCCTTAAAAATCCACAATTTTTGACCTGAAAGCGTTTTTCGATCATTCCAAAACAACCTGAAAGTTGCCTCTGTATACCTGAAAACTGTATTTTAAACTTTCCTTTTTTAAGAATCCCCAGAATATTGATTTGAAAAGGATCTTAAAACTTATTGTCTAAATTTTTGTGTGTCAAAGCTCTCTTTTTAAATCAACGATATTGGACCTTAAATTACTTTTTAAGAATTTAAATAAAATATAATATTATGAGCCGTAAGTTACTTTTAAATTAAAAATTATTATTATTATTATTCTTCATACAGTCATTGGCCTTACTTTAAAGATTTTGAACAATTAATAAAAAAGTTGTCCCAAAGAAGTTCTTTAAAGGATCCTGGAGAGCTTCCTTTGCTTTTTAAATATTTATCCTTTTTTTGTATTACAAATTGTATTTTGTTTCATGAATATTTTTTCAAAGAAGTTCTTTAAAGCATCCTGAAGAGCTCCTGTTGCTTTTTAAATATTTATCCTTTTTTTGTGTTACAAATTGTATTTTGCTTCCTGAATATCTTTTCCCATTGTTTGATGTGTTGTTTTCAAATTTTCTGCACCATTTTTTTTAGAATATGCCTGTTTATATGTCCACTTTGCTTTTACAATTTAATGTGCACATGTTTTTTTTTTTTTTGTAATAAATATTTTAGAATTTCGTCAACAACATATTTCAAAATTCAAAACAAAGAAAAAAAATTATACGAGACCTAGGTATTAAAAAAAATATGAATAGAAATTGCTTTAACTCTTTAATCAAATCTAAATGACCAGTTCTATTATCTACGCTTAACAACACTATCTATCTAACAATAACTTGTGTATGTGTAGTATGTTTGTAGTACTCGAAATTAATTGTAATTTTTCAATTTTCAATATATATTTTCTGTTGTATATTTAACACTTTTTTTCTATTTGCTTTTGCTACCACTCAACAAACAACCACAACAGCCGATTTACCCAATTACATTACACGCTTCCAATGGGATATGGCCAAGTATCCAATTAAGCAATCTTTGCGTAACATTGCCGATATCATTTCCAAACAAGTTGGTCAAATCGATGCTGATTTGAAGACAAAATCGAATGCCTATAACAATTTGAAGGGCAGTTTGCAGAATTTGGAAAAGAAACAAACGTAAGTAAAAATAAAAATAAGAAATTATAATTTTTATTGATAAAGGCTGGATGGCAAGGCATAACTTTGAATGAATGTTGCTAAAATTAATATGAACTAATCAAGAGTCATATAAATTCATTGAAAAATATTCTAATTTTTGTTTATTTTCTTTGAAATTCCAGTGGCAGTTTGTTAACCCGTAACTTGGCCGATTTGGTTAAAAAGGAACATTTCATTTTGGATTCCGAGTACTTAACCACTCTCTTGGTCATTGTACCAAAGTAAGTATTCCGCCAATCATGGTCATCATAACAAGTTTTAATAATTATTTGTTTGTTGTTATTTGTAGAATGCTGGCCAACGATTGGATGGCCAACTATGAAAAGATCACCGACATGATTGTGCCACGCTCATCGACGTTGATTACCCAAGACAATGATTACTGCCTCTACAATGTCACCCTATTCAAGAAGGTTGTTGAGGAATTCAAATTGCATGCCCGCGAAAAGAAATTCATTGTACGCGATTTCGTTTACAACGAAGAAGAATTGGCCGCCGGCAAAAACGAAAGAACCAAATTGATTACCGACAAAAAGAAGCAATTTGTGAGTGGCAAAATAAAAATATCTTAAACACTGTTTTTATTCATTCGATTTTTTTTGTTTTGTTAAAACAGGGCCCCCTGGTCAGATGGTTGAAGGTGAACTTCAGTGAGGCATTCTGTGCTTTGATCCATGTCAAGGCATTGCGTGTCTTTGTTGAATCTGTTTTAAGGTAGAGCACATTGTAATGCATTTTTAATGAGGTAACTTAACATTTTTTGGTTGGTGTTTTTGTCTTTCAGATACGGTTTGCCTGTTAATTTCCAAGCCATTCTCATTGAACCCAACAAGAAGAGCATAAAGCGTCTACGTGACTGCTTGAACCAATTGTATGGTCATTTGGATGGTGCTTCAGCTGGTGGACAATTGTCGGGCAGTGGTGCTGATGTAAGTAGTGAAAATTTCTACAATTTTAATATAAAGTTTTATAGTGTTCACCATAATGTCCTTTTCAAATGTTGGTAAGAATAGATCAAAGAAGGAGTTTTTAACACTATTTCAACAACCACGTTTAAGAAAAAGAAAATTACCTTCAATAATTCTAAAGAATTGGTTATTAGGAACATGCAATTGTTTTTAAGAACTTATAGACCTAGTGTTTTGGAACTGAAATGGTTTACAAATTAAATGAATTTTGATTTTTGGAAATGAAAACATCAAAAAAAATATCAGTCGGTTTTGCCATCAGACGCATACCCTCAGCCAATGCTGGATTATTTAATAATATTTTGACTTCTGTTTTAATTATTCAAATTGTTGACCCTCTATGTAGTAGGTTCCGGAGGAGTGGCAATATTTTCCTTTTCGTATCGGACCTAAATAAATATGATATAAATATTGAGACGTGCCAGAATTGGATTGTATTGATTACTTCCTTCACTTTATAGGAGATATGTGATAATTTTTAGAGAATATATATAGGACCGAAGTATTTAATTTTCACACTTCATTTATAAAATAATGGTATGGGAATAATTACAAGAAAATCAATTTTTTTGCGAAATTCCATTATAAATTCCATATTCATATTTTTTGGTTGATAGAAATAATTAGATAAATCAAGTGTTAAAGAATCGCTGACTTATTTCGCAAGTTATGACAGATAAAAGTATTGAATCTTGTGACCCTTTGTGGGAGAGATACCAGAAGGGTATCGCAGATATATAACATCTTCACAAAAGATCTCGCGTTAGCAAAAATGTTTGGATGTGTGAAATTTGAAACGAGGTGGATGCTTATTTCGATTTCTTTGAGCGTTTTGTTTTTCAAAATTTTGAAACCTATTCGGGGAGTTACCAGAAGGATTGTGCCGATATAACCCATTTTCACAGCAGATCTTGTGTTAGTAGAAATAATGGGATGTGCGAAATGTGAAGAGAATTTAATGCTTATTTCGGATTTTTGCTCATTTTGGTTGTTCAAAATTTTGAATCTTTTTTGGGGGAGGTACCAGAAGAAATGGTCCAATCTCTACCATCTTCATAACAAATCTTGTGTTATCGAAATTGTTGAGATGTGTGAAATATGAAGAGAACCGGATGCTTATTTCGGGTTTTATAATCGTCGATTTGAATAACAAAATCGTTGACCCTTTGTGGGGGAGGTACGTGAAGGAATGGTCCGATCTCTACCATCTTTATAACAGATCTTGTGTTGATGGAAATATTGAGATGTAACAAGTCTGAATGAAATCGGATGTTAACTTCGCGTTTTATGGGCCTTATGAACATTCAAAATTTTACCACTTTGTGGGGGAGGTACCAAAAGGAGTGGATCGATATATTCCATCTTCACATCAGACCTTGGGTTAATGAAAACATAGTGATGTGTGTAATTTGGAGACAATCGGACACTTCACATTTTATAAGAAATTAAAAATTATTCGAAATTTTGACCCTTTGTGGGGGAGGTACTAGATGGAGTGCACTGATATTGTCCATTTTCGCACCGGACCTAGCACTGATACAAATATTAGGATTTGCAAAGTTGGAGTAAAATCGGATTACCATTTCTCTTTCTGTGCAGTAAAATATTTTCTTTTAAAATTTTGACATTTTAAGGGGGAAGTACCAGAAGGAGTGGACCGATATTGCCCATCTCCGAACTCGATCTAAGTTTGACAATAACATTACGCTGTACCAAGTTTGGATCCCTTCGAGAGTTATCGTGCGCATCAGCCTGCCAGACAGACGGACGGACGGACATCGCTAGATCGACTCCAAATGTCCGCCGATGTTTTTCAGCTGCATAGGATGACTTTTTCTGGATGCATTGACAACTTTTGCGATGCTTCTGGCTGATCTCCACTCCAATATCAATAACTCTGCTTATTTGAACCAAAAATGTCCTTCGTCCTTAAGCGAATACAATTTTTTGATAAAAAAAAATGGATCTTAGATGATATTATAAAGTCCAAAGTTGCTAGCTCATAAAATCTCCAAAATGTCTGTTTTATGGTATCTGAATGATGAATATCTTTAGTTTTCACCAAATATTCTTAATATAATTTGCATTTGATGTCTGAGTTTCCTATTCACTCAGATGACCGATGGAAATCATATATTTTGTCGATTATTGAGAACCTTATTTTACTTTTACAATTTTTTACCTCATACGATATTTATTGTTTTTGTTTGTTTTATTTTTTTCAGAATGTTGATATTCCCGGCTTGGGTTTCGGTCAGGCGGAATACTTCCCCTATGTATTCTATAAAATCAACATCGATATGGTAGAAGCTGCTAAAATGTAAAACCTGATATGTTGTTTTCCATGGAACAGAGAAGCAAACATATATGTCTGTATGTGTGGGCAAAGGCAACAACAGCAAAAAAGATAATTTTCATAAATAATTAGCTTAATTTAAACAATAAAAAAAGTCGTGTATAATTGTAATTTCAAGAAACAAAACAAACAAACAAACAAAAAAAGAAACCTAAGTAAAACTTAATACTATTATTTTAAAATACTATGTATGTATTGTACAAAACAAAGAACTATTATTCAAACTGGCAAAGAAACAAAAGCAGTGATACAACCAAACCCTACAGAACAACTGATATGGAAATTACACCCAAAAGAAAAGCTGGCGGCGGCTTGTGATTATTTCCATTGAAAAAAAAAACTCCTCTTGTTTCCTTGTTTTGTTACATCGATAATTTCCTCTTTTTCTATTAAATATTAAGTTCATATTTTTTTTGTCCATATTTGTTATTACATATTTAAAAGAAAATATAAGATTCCCCCTACAGCCACACAAAAAATAAGTGCTAGAAGGTAGAACTTTTTTTTGGCTGTAATGTTTTTTTTTTTTTTTCGTTTTGATTGTTAACAGTATTCTGTGTATAACTATGTTAAACAAAATAATAATAAATCTATTAAAAAAAAAGATTTTAAGAAAATAATTTTAAACAAAAAAAATAACACGTTTTCTGTTTTTATTTTAAATAATTTTACCAAATATTTCATCATTTGTTTTTCTTTCTTTCAAGCACAAAATTCCTGGTTATAAAATATTAATAATAAAAAATAGCATCTTTACTCTAATTGTTGTTGTTTTAGCTATTATTAATACTATTTACAATATAATCAACAATGGAACAATAATGTCTAAATTAAACAAAACATGTTGATACTTACGAATATGCTATACATATATTTATATACAAAATTAAATAAAAAAAACAAACAAAAACAACCAGCATAAACTACATATATAATCATGTTAGAACTATTTCAATTTATGTGTAAAAAAACCAAAAGCAAAAAAACACAACTAATTGTTTACATAATTGCTAGCAACAAACAAAACAACAACCTGATATGTTTTATAATACCATCTTTAAAACATCCAATATTCAAATTCAAATGATACAAGAAACTAACAATGCCATCCTTGTAAATAATTATATTGAAAAGAAAAGATGAAGATGAAGAAGAAGAAAACTGAAAATGAAAACAAGAAAAAGACATTCCAAAACATCAAGTTGTTTTTAATTCATACATGGGCAGCAGGGGGACGATCTTCAGAGTCATACTATATAGAATTGGATTTGGCAATATTAACCAATCAATGATCATATATTGACATTTCCATACAAATAATCCTATATCCCACTATCTATCTAGCATTTCTCGCAAGAATGTTCATTTAGCTTGGGGACTAATTCTCATATTCAATGAAGTGTTATTGTTACCAACATACAGGGTGAGATGAAAAAAACTGCAACCAACTTCAGACTGTAGTCATTTCTAATCCAGTCGACGGCTGTTAAAATTATTCCAGTGACAGCTCATTATATTGTTTACTAGCGTCCAAAACATTTTGGTGAGAATTTTCCAGAAAAAAAAGTTATTCGCGATGGAATTTAAGCGTGATAGTGTGATTTCTTTATATTTGGCTGGAACATCACAAGTGGCTATCGTTAGAACACTCAAGGATTTAAATGTGGATAAATAAATTGTGTCTCGTACCATCGCTCGTTACTCTGATACTGGTAGCAAAGCCCGACGGATGTCAAGGAAGTGGACGGAAGAAAACAGCAACATCAGCAGAAATGGTTCGAAAAGTAAAGAAGCGACTTGATCGAAACCCGAGTCACAGTGGCTGAAAAATGGCTCGTGAGCTGAACATATCGCAACATTCCATTCGGTAAGTATTGAAAAATAAGCTCGGGGTAAAGCCATTGATATTGCAAAAAGTGCAATAACTTACACCGCAACAGAAAGAAAATAGACTCAAAAGGGCTAAAGGATTGCTTCGCTTGGCCGAAAGTGGTGAACTGCCGATTTTGGATTTTGGTTTTTTTTTGTAAACAAACAAAATGATCGTGTTTCCTTGCCAAAGAGGTCAGCTGAAAATGTGCAACTTCGGTTGGCCACCAGAACTCAAGCGCCGGCCATGGTGATGGTGTGGGCCGCCATAACAGCCGATGGTAACTCTCCGCTCGTATTAATCGAGCTTGGCATTAAAATAAAAGCCGAAAATTATCGCGAAAATATTCTGGAGGGTGTATTAAAGCCTTGGGCACGCAAACATTTTGGCCGCAGACCTTGGACATTCCAACAGGACTTAGCATCATCGCACTCAGCACAAGCCACCCAAGAATGATTACAAAATAAGGTTCCTCGCTTCATTTCCAGCGCCACCAAAATCTCCAGATACCAATCCGTTGGACTATTGTATTTTAGAAAGCAAGGTTGCCACTAAATGATACCAAAGTGTCGATCACCTCAAGCGCAAGCGCTTCGCCGGGAAAGAGCTAAAATACCGCAGCTCAACATTCCGGCAGCGTGTAACAGTTTCATTGGCCGTTTGAAGGCCATAATTTGTAACAAAGGTGATCAATTCGAACAAATCTAAACTAAATCTAAAATTTGATGCTATTTCCGACATTTTTTGATTTCATTCAATAAGATTTCAAAAAAAAAATGTAAAAATTATGGCGTTTAACTTTGTTGCAGTTTTTTTATCTCACCCTGTAAATATGGCAGAGATCGGGCCATCCCTTATGGGACCTCCCCCACAAAGGTTCAAGGTTTTAAATAACAAAAACTATCATAAAATCCGAAATGAGCATCCGGTTCTCTTCAAATTACACACATCACAATATTTTCATTGACCCAAGGTCTGGTGAGTAGATGGAATATATCGGTCCACTCCTACTGGTATCTCCCCCACAAAGGTCACAACTTTGAACATCCATGAAGTTTATAAAACGTAAAATTAACATCCGATTCCATTTAGATTTGGCACAGCTCAATATTTCCATCAACACAAGATCTGTTTTAAAGATGGTACAGTTCGGACCACTCCTACTGGTACCTCCCCACAAAAGCTCAACGTTTTAAATAACAAAAACGATAATAAAATCCGAAATAAGCATCCGGTTCTCTTCAAATTATACACATAAAAATATTTTTATTGGCCCAAGGTCTGGTGTCAAAATGGAATATATCGGTTCACCCCTTCTGGTACCTCCCCCACAAAGGTCAAAACTTTAAATACCCATGAAGCTCATAAAATGCGAAATTAACATCCGATTCCATTTAAACTTGGCACAACTCAATATAAACACAAGATCTGTTATAAAGATGGTAGAGATCGGACCACTCCTTCTGGTACTTCCCCCTCATGGGGTTAAAGTTTTGAAGAACAAAACGTTCAAAGAAAGAGAAATAAGCATCCAATTCTCTTTAAATTTCACACAACCAAATATTTTGGCTGACGCAAAATCTGTTGTGGATATGATAAATATCGGCCGACCCGTTGTTGTTCTTCACCCATAAAGGGTCACAATGTGCAATACTTATATCTGGCATAACTTGTGAAACAAGTCGGCGATTCTTTAGAACTTGCTGTATCTAAATATTGGTCTTAACCAGAAATCTGATATAAATATGTAATCTATCGAAAATTATGATTTCGCATAAAGTTGGATATAAATGTTGGATTTCCTTCAAATTTTTAATGTACCAATATATTTTTTTTCTGTATTCGATAAAGTATGAAAATGGAATACCTCGGTCGACTATGTCTGTTACCTCATGCGTATTTCCACATTTTCCAAAAATTTGCACATGTCTCATAAAAAGTATACGAAGTAGTCGATATAGTCCAAATTTGGAACTTTGTAATATTTATATCAGAATTAGATCAGATACGAATTGTCCACATTGGCCAACTGCCTTGGAACCTCCCCTATAAAGGGTCAACAGTTTAAATCTCATAACTCACGGCTGGGGGTATACATCTGTCGGCAAAACCGACTGATACATTTTTACTTGTTAATAAGCCTTTTATTTTATTTCTTTACAATATTTTTAAATAACTCATAATTGATAGCGACGATAGCTCGCCTACTCATCACCAATGTCCACCTCCTGTTGCAGTATTTTCTTCTTGATTAAGCTTCTCTTGCGCAAATTACTGCACAAACGCACCGAAAAGAAATAGATAAACTCAATTAAACTCAAACTGGAAATTCCCATAAAAAGACCGAAAATGCCACCACAATTGGCAATCAAAGTGGTGATGCCATACATTACAGTACGTTTGATGGCAGTGAATTGGGTTTCCTTGAAGTAAACCGACAAACGGGCACCACGACCACTAAAAAACAAAACAAACAATTGTATAAACACCTTGAATTAATCCCTTCATATTTACAACACTCACTCATCGTGTTCGTATTCATCTCTTTGCGCCAATACTGTCTTTTCAAAATCAAAATACGATCGCGAAATTTCAAAATTGTAATCCAATGAATTACAGGCCGGTATACAGTCGCACATTATTGCAACACTGGGATCAACCGTTTTCTGTTTGGTTTGATTCGATATTATCAGGTTCATTTCAATCTCGGCTTGGTTGTAGCAGCTAACCTCAGCTAGGCCACAAGTGGGCACATCCAAAGGTTCTGTAAAAAGTTTGGTTAATACAATTTTTTTTTCAATTTATCTTAGGAATTTCCCACTTACTTGGCATCCAAAACTTAGCGCATCCACATTTATTTATGGTAAAATTAGCCAGGCATTCGGTTTGACAGTTACTCTGGGAATACGATTTGAAGTAGCGCAAATAACGTTCATCGTTGAAATAACATTGTCTCCTGCAAAAATAAAAAAATAATTAAATTAAGTTGATTAGCCAATGGTAGTTGGAACAGCAGTTCTAGGTAAGCTTTCATATCAGCTAAGCTGATTTAGTTTTTTATAAAGACCATTATTTAGCTAAGCTTAGGTTTCCAATTAAAAAAAAACTTAATCCCGATTGGCTGAATAAACGTTTTGCCATAGAAACCAGTTCATTTTCGAGTCGTCATACAGAAACGGCTCCAACGAGTATATAGCTTACTACGGCAAAACGTTATTTCAGCAAATCGGAATTAAGTTTTCTATTGAAGAAGTGGAAACGTATCAGTCGGTTTTGCCGACAGTTGTATACCCTCAGCCAATTTTCGATTCCTCAAATATAATTTGCCTACTGTTATGATTATTTAAATTGTTGACCCTCTATGGAGCAGGTTCCGAAGGAATGGGCCAATATTGTCCATTTCGTAGAGGACCTAAATAAATATGATATAAATATTGCAATGTGGCAGGTTGGCACTATATTGGTTACTTCCTTCACATTATATATGAGATAATGACAAATTTGACAAATTAGAAAACGTGCGCGAGGCACCAGTTATAGTCGACAGATAAAAATATTGGTATGGGTAAAATTCCAAGAAAATCGAACATTTATATCCAATTTTATGCGAAGTCATAAATTCCATGTTCATTTCAGGTTTCTCGTTTTGGTTATTCGAAACTTTGACCCGTTTGTGGGGTAGGTACCAAAATAAATGGTCCTCTCTCTACCATCTTTATAACAGATCTTGAGTTGATAGAAATATTGAGATGCGACAAGTCTGAATGAAATCGGATGTTAATTTCAAGTTTAATGAGCTTCATGAATATTCAAAATTTTGAACCTTTGTGGAGGAACTACCAGAAGGAGTGGACCGAAATATCTAATATTCACAACAGATCTTGTGTTAGTAGAAATAAGAGAATGTGTGAAATATAAAGAGAATCGAATGCTTATTTCGGATTTAACAATTATTTTGATTTTTCGAAACATTAACACTTGGTGGGGGAGGTGCCAGAATGAATGGTCCGATCTCTACCATCTTTATTACAGATCTTGTGTTGATGGAAATATTGGGATGTGCCATGTTATTTTCGTTTTTTATGAGCTTCATGGATATTCAAAATGTTGACCCTTTGTGGGGTAGGTACCAGAAGGAGTGGCCCAATATATCCTATCTTCACAGCAGATTGTGTGTTAGTAGAAATAATGGGATGTGTGAAATATGAAGAGAACTGGAAGCTTATTTCGGTTTAAATAATCGTTTTTGTTATTCGTAACGTTGACTCTTCGTGGGGGAGGTACCAGAAGGAGTGCACCGATATATTCCATCATCACACCAGACCTTGGGACAATAAAAATATTCTGATCTGTGCAATTTGAAGAGACCCGGATGCTTATTTCAGATTTTATGATCGTTTTTGTCATTTTAAACTTTGACCCTTTGTGAAGGAGGTACCAGGAAGAATGGTCCGATCTCTACCATCTTTATGAGAGATCTTGTATTGATGGAAATATTTAGATGTGCCAAGTCTGAATGGAATCGGATGTTAATTTCGTGTTTTATGAGCTTCATGGATATTCAAAAATTTGACCCTTTGTGGAGGAGGCACTTGATGGGGTAGACCGTCCATTTCCATTTTCGCACCTGACCTAGCACTGATTCAAATATTAGGATTCGCAAAGTGGGAGCAAAATCGGATTATCCGTTCTCTTTCTGTGCAGTAAATTATTTTATTTGAGTGGACCGATATTGCCCATCTTCGAACTCGATCTAAGTTTGATAATAATATTATGATATACCAAATTTGGATCAATTCGGATACTCCCTTCGATAGTCATCGTGCGCACCAGCTAGCCAGACAGGCGGACGGACGGACATCGCTAGATCGACTCCAAATGTCCTGAAACGGATTTGGTTCAGAGAGACCTAGGGTCTAAAACCATATTGCTGAGGGTACAAAATCTTAATCCCGATTGGCTGAATAAACGTTTTGCTGTAGAAACCAGTTAAGTTTCAAGTCGTCGTACAGAAACGGATCCTAAGAATATATAACTTACTATACAAAAAACGTTATTTTAGCTAATCGGAATTATGTTTTCTATTGGAAAAAATTAGCTGAAAATTCAATATTATTTAGCAAGAGATTCATACTTCTCTGGCCCGAATTGATGTAGATTTTCTGTCGATGTAACATATTGAGGCAGAACCGAGACCAAGATATCATCATTGTGCGATACCAGTATATAATTGCCCGTAGTCAGCGGAACACTGTCTGGTGAGTTCAGGAAAACCTTTCAAATGAGAAAAAAAACTTAAATATCAGGAAAGTTATAATTACAAAAACATACTTTGTAACCCTGCTTAAAAGTACGACAAGTATAGTCGAAATTATGTTCGAAACCCATCAAGAATGCAAAAAGGCCATTTCTGGCCGATGACAACACCGATCTTTGAGGATATGCATTAAATCCCTGATTAATATAGCCATCATTCAGAGACCAATTTCCTGTAACATCTTGATATCTTGGCAATTCTGTGTCATAATAATTATTGTAGTCGATTTCAGTACTATCCGAATAGCTGAGGTAGCTGCAAGGAACATATATGTAAATAAAAATGTTATTTAGAATTATTTTAATAATGTTATAAACAAAAAACGTAAACAAATAAGAAACCCGAGTCTTTCTGAGTAATTATGAAGTTTTCTTTGACAACATTCAACTACAGGGTGCGATGAAAAAACTGTAACCGATTTTGTTTTTTATCTCACCCTGTAATTTGGAAGTCACATTTCAATAATCCTCCAATCTCAAAAACACTCAGTTTTCTTTTATGAAATGTTCTGACTATTAATTGTAGGAAATAAAAATTCTCTTTCAAAAAGAATGATTTGCAATTACTTGGGATCTCTGTAGATGTCCCTGGGATGTAAACCATTAAATTGATAACAAATACCCTCATCGGTGAGGACATATTTGAAAAGATAATGGCAGAAATAGTAACGACCATTCCATCTGCAAAACGGCAACGTTGTATTGGGAACCAATGCCAAATCCACCAATGTCTGGGGCACATCAACCGGCATGTCTTTGGGCATATACGGTGAAAACTTATCCAATACTTCACTTTCACAAATCTGCAAGGTGGCCACGAATTTTTGCAATCTATTTAACAAAAAAACTTTAAAAATTAATTATTTAACAATTTTAAACCATCCACATACTCTTCATCGGTTAAATTTGCCGAGTTTTTGAAACTTTCGTATTCCTCAATTTCGGCTTCAATTTTCTCGGCAACCTTTGTAAAATCGAACTCTTCGTCACGATTCATTTTGATTTCGGGGCAAATGGTTATGGTGGGAAAGGGTATTTTACTAACTGGCACCAGGGTTTCGTCAAAGCCCAAAATCACCGGTGAATCCAGCCACTTTAAATAGGTGTCCCACATCAGCGAAACGGCAAAATAAAATGAGATCAGCATTAGGACAATCCAATAAAATCTACAAAATTCACACAAAAACACAACAATTTCGAATTACATCACTCATCCTTGCAATAAATATTTTTTTTTTGATATTCACTTTTCATAAAACGGCCGATGTACTTCAAAGATATAACGTAAGCCATGCACCGAAGTACTTTTCGAATACTCAGCCATAAGACCCTGGCATGCTGACCATCTGCTGCCATATTTTATACGCGATTTGATTATAAGTTCACTGGGCACATCACTCAAGGCATTGGAAGTTATGCTCATATGGCGCTCCGACGGTGTGGGCAATGATAAAAAATCCGGATCCGGTTGGGAAAAATGAATGGCACCATTTTCAACTAAAAACATTGCGAACGGTAGGAACAGTTGCTTGTAACGGTTACTTGGCGTTTAAAACGGGTGAGCTAATTTGCTTGGGCTTTTATAGGTGTCATTGGATATGACAACATCACACACTGAGAGGTGCAACTGTAACATGTGTATTACACCCAAAAGAATACCCAAGTGCAGACTTTTACTCAGGGGGAATGTTCAAACGGAATGTTTCTATCCCCACACACAGACATCAACGTGAGGAATAGGGTGGTTATGACACAAACATTGTTTTTCAAGTTGACAAAAACAGCGTAATTTTTCCTTCGGAATAAACATTTTCCCTTGGAAAACATTTTCAGGAGGGTTGAATGAAAATCCTTCTACAAAAATATGAAATGAAGCCCTTAAATGAAATACAAAAAATTTCACATTCGATATCAAATTTCAATCGAATTAATTCGAACAAATTGCTAAAAACAACTAATTCTCACATATTAAAGACAGACCACAGTTTTGTATATTCTCAACCATATAGCTACAGAGGGTATATAACATTTGATGAGGCCAAAACGTGCTTAATCGAAATAACGATTTTAGACCCTAGGTCTCTTCGGTCTTCCGTTTCAGAACATTTGGAGTTGATCTAGCTATGTCCGTCTGTCCGTCTGTCTGTGTAGCTGTGTAGCTCTGGCTGGTTCACACAATAACTCTCGAAGGGAGTATCCGATTTGATCTTAACTTGGTACATCGTAATATTATTGTCAAACTTAGATCGATTTCTGAGATTGGCAATGGTACCTCCCACACAAAATGTCAATATATTCAAAGAAAATAATTTACTGCACAGAAAGAGAAAGGATAATCCAATTTTGATCCAACTTTGCATATCCTAATATTTGCTAGGTCCGGTGCGAAAATGGACAATATCGGTCCACTCCATCAAGTATCTCCCCCACAAACGGTCAAAATTTGGAATAATTATAACTCTTATAAAATGTGATGAAAGTGTTCAATTGTCTTCAAAATACACACATCACAATATTTTTATTAACCCAAGGTCTGGTGTGAAGATGGAATATATCGCTCCACTTCTTCTGGTACCTCCCTTACAAAGGGTCAAAATTTTGAATATTCATAAAGCTCATAAAACGCGAAATTAACATCCGATTCCATTCAGACTTGGCACACCGCAATATTCTATCAACACAAGATCTGTTATAAAGAGGGTAGAGATCGGACCATTCCTTCTGGTACCTCCCCCACAAAGGGTAAAAGTTTTTTTTAACCAAAACGATTATAAAATCCGAAATAAGCATCCGATTCTCTTCACACATCCCTTTATTTCTACTGACACAAGATCTGCTGTGAAAATTGTATATTTTGGTCCACTCCTTCTGGTACCTCCCTCACAAAGGATCAAACTTTTGAATATTCACGAAGCTCATAAAACGCGAAATTAACATCCGATTCCATTCAGACTTGGCGCATCTTAATTTTTCCATCAACACAAGATCGGTTATTAAGAGGGTAGAGATCGGACCATTCCCTCTGGTACCTCCCCCACAAAACGATCTCCCCCACGAAGGATCACAAACTCCGAAATAAGCATCCAACTCTCTTCAAATTTTACACATCCAAACATTTTTGCTAACGATAAATCTGTTGTGAAGATGATCTGGTACCTCACCCACAAAGAGTCACAATTGCTAATACTTGCGAAACAAATCGGCGACTCTTTACAACTGACCAGAAATCTGATACGAACACGCAATTTATCGAAATTTATGATTTCGCATAAAATTGGATGTAAATGTTCGATTTCCATCAAATTTTGCATATAACAATATTTTTATCTGCACTAGATGAAGTATGCAAAAGGAACACTTCGATCCGCTATATCTGTTACCTCACGAATAATTCCACATTTTCCAAAAATGACCACATATCACATATAAACTAGACAGATATAGTCCAAATATGGCACGTTGTAATATTTATATTAGACAAAGGTCAGGTACGAATTGGAGAATATTGGCCAACTGCTTCGGAAACTCCGAATAGAATAATAAGTCCAGGCTTTCTCAAATTTAACTGATAATATTTAACTTTTTTTTATAAAAATTTTGTATCTATGTTGACATATTTTTTTTTTCAATCCACCCGAATGTAAAGGATTTTTGGGCAGGAAAAAGGATGGCAAATGTTTAAATTCATAGAAATTGAAATGTATAGCCACCCCGGACAACACTGCAAAGAGTTATTAAAGCTTTAAGTAGTCCAAAAAAAAAAAAACCAAAAACATGTTGGCCCAATAAAACAACGAAAATGTTTCGATTGTAATTTTCTCAATTTTAATATTGCAAATGTTAACAACTTTATGCTGGTGCCTTTTTGGTAAAGAATGAGGCTATACTCTTGGTACCCTTTGCACTCTTGGCCAGTGATTTTTCCTTAGCCGAAAGGGGACGCTCCTTTAACGGTGTCGACAATGTTTCCTTGGGTGATTTTATTTCCTCCTTCACTTCATTGGTTTTGTTACGATTCTCCTCTTCCTCATCGTCGTCGTCCTTTGAGTCATCTAGCAAATTGGAATTCTTTAATTTAGCTGCTGCTCCATTTGCCAATTTTTGTTTTTTATTGCCCTCGTTTTTAAGTTTCTCTCCGGATTTCCGTTTTGTCGTTGTGTTATTTGCCTTCTTTTCTTCGGCTATTGCTTGTATTTCCGAAGGTATGTTAAGATGCTTGGTTAGCTCATCGTGCAAATCCAATGCCAGATAACCACCAATATAATCGCAGGCAACTCTGAGATAATCTGTTTCATGGGCACTTTCATCCACAGCCTTTTCACTTTGGGTGAAATTTTGTGATACTGCACTGTGGCCACAATAGATACCGGCTTTCTTCAATGCCTCGGCCATGCGTTTTGTTTTCAGCGATAACCAGGCCAGACATTTTTCATGATTGTATTTGAAATATTTATCTCCACCAGCTGTCTTAACATCGGCAATACATTTCAAATTGTCTGGTGGAATGAAATTATTTAAAAGCCTTGAAGCTGTGGGATCCTCTTCATCGTGTATGCTATCCAGTGACAAAGCCCGCTTTGCACAATGTTTACGCAAGTGATGCAATGCCAGAAATGTTGCGTCTAGGCTGGTGGTCATATAGATGTGACCATTCGAGCACACTTCCCTGTTGATCAACCAACTTCTTCGCGGCTCTGAAAATTCCATAATTTCCATTATGTGCTTGTCATCCTTTGTCATGAATAGTGTGGCTTTTCCCTTGCCGGGATGATAGAAACGTTCAAGTTTTAATTTTTGTGTATCATCCGTCAGCATTTGCTGGGATATGTAAAATATTTTTCGCAAAGCCGTTGCTGCAACATTTGAACTTTTCTTGGTTGCTGGGGCATCGGGATCTTCCTTGATTTTTGTCGAACGTGTAGATTTTCCTTTGCTCATTTTTTTTTGAGTTGGGTTTATGTTTATGTAGATAAAAAAACTTGTAGAACAGCTGCTCTTTTTATAGGTAAGTTTATTTTTCGAAGATCTGAAATAAAAGAAAAAGAGAGTTATATAAGCGAAAGGAAACAGGTAAAAAACGTAAATTCAGCTAGGCCGAGCTATGAATACCCTCCAGCATTTGGAACGAATTTGGCAATTTTTAAAAAAAATTAAAATCCGTTAAAAATTCTGTTAAGCTCTTAAAAATACCGAATGTAGATGTATTTATACGACGACGTGAACCTGCATAGGCAACTTTGGCCATAAGCCATTGAAAGATTCAAATGAGAAATTACAAAAAAAAAATCGGTTAATAATGTAGCTAAAATCATCAAAATACCGAATATAGGGAGGTATCTTTATATGGGGGCTATAGCAAATCGTGGACCTGCACAGACAATTTTCTGCCTTAGGCTGCAGTATCTATTACGAACTTCAAATACCAAATTTGAAACAATTCCGATGAATAATGTCGCTAAAATCATCGAAATACCGAATATAGGTAGGTACCTTAATATGGGGGTTATAGCAAAACGTGGACATGCACAGACAATTTTCTGCCTTGGGCTGCAGTATCTATTACGAACTTCAAATACCAAATTTGAAACAAATTCGGATGAAAAATGTCCCTAAAATCATCAAAATACCGAATATAGGGAGGTACCATTATATGGGGGCTATACGAAGACGTGGACCTGCACAGACAATTTTCTATTTTTGGTCGTAGTATCGATTATGAACTTCAAATACCAAATTTGAAACAATTCCGGTAAATAATGTCGCTAAAATCATCGAAATACCGAATATAGGGAGGTACCGTTGTATGGTGGCTATACCAAAACTTGAACCTACATGGTCCATTTTCAATACCAAAAATCCTGCAGACTTAATATACATTTGAGCTAAACTTTATCAACCTACTTGAATTCGTTCGGAAGCTAGAATGATTTCCACAGACAGATAGACGGACGGACCTCGCTAAATCAACATAGAATTTTATGCTGCTCAAGAATATATATATTCTGTGGGGTCTAAAATGTATGTTTCGAGATGTTACAAAAGGAATGACAAACTTAATATACCCTCCATACTTTGGCGGAGGGTATAAAAGAGGTGACGCCCAGAAATATTCATCTTAGATATTTCGTCTATTTTTCTAGACGTGGACACTACGATAAAGTCCACATTATTAAATGCAGTAATATTTGAGATTGAAAATGAAATTTAGATACTATATGGGTATACCATTTGGTCTAGCTCCCATAAAAGAAACAATATATTCCGATGTTTAGAAATATTAAACGACTTTGTCAACAAAGCAAATGGAAAAAATTCCTCCTTTAAAACAGTTCATATGCACATCAGTAAAATTTTCACCTCATTTTCGCTATTTCCAATTGAAAGTTTCATCCGCAATTTCCATACAAATAAATTAAATAATAGAGTAGTACCAACTTTCAGGATATTGAAACTTTTGGTCATGTTGTGCAACCCAATTATGTGAATCTTGGAATTTTGTGTCCCCAAATAGTCAAATATTTCTCTGCAAGAGTATTTCAATTCAGGTTGGTAGATCACTTAACAGCGTTAACTTCTAAATTTAGACATTGATCTGTTTTATCCAATTTTATTGTTTTATGTATCCCTGAGTCTGGATCGTTGGGTCGATTTGAATTACAGACATGAATCCTTCAAAACAACCATTAATATTGTGATAATAGCAAGGTGAGTAACAGTCCTGCCAAGATACTCATTTTAGTCCTCGAGAAGGCTATTTCAATTTAAAAACAATTCCAACATGTTAACTTGCAAAGTTGTTGGCTTTTTTGGAAGAATTAAAATACACTTAATAGGTGATTTCCAGTACACAAAATATACATTCACAAATCTTACCTTAACAAAAATACGGGCAAAAACAATGATTAAATTAAAACTATTCGGAAAACCTTATAAAAATATAATAAATCCTTCTCTCAAGAGTTCAACACTGAATGAAATTATTTTGCCATAAATTGGCGCAAAGAATGCCAAAGCAAAGAGGATTATCAACAAATATGTTTAGAATGGCGTATAAAAGAAAATAAACGATAAACGATTACTTATTTCTGACAATTACAATTTCTGTGGGTACTTATTCATGCCTGGGTTGGATGATTTGTTGTCAAGCAAAAAGTTGTGTTTTATTTGCTCAGTCTGCATTTCTGTCTTTTGTCACATTTTTTGGTGTCAAATACATTTCATTACAATTTTATGTAAGCATTTTCAATTAAAATGTATATATGTAATGTAAAAATGCATTTTCATTGAAGGTTAAAAGAAATCAAGCGATTTGTTTGGTAAGAGTTGGGTTTTAGTTGACAAACTACCATTTGATTTAGTCATACTATAGCATCTAAGACAATGTATATATGAGAATAAATAGAAAATGGAAAAACGTTAAATTTGAAAATTTTTATGTTTATTCAAATTTGAGTGTGTATTTTATTTGATTGACTGGAACATATGGGACATGGAAGAAGACAATGGGGCAGTGAACTATCAAACCAATTTTTGGAATTGAAATTCTTAAATGATTGACATCGTATAAGAAATCATATAAAAATCTACTTACATTTGAAAAAAAAAACATTTTAAAAATTTTGACATTTCTGCGCAGTGTGAACATTTTAAAAACAAGATTTATTTTAAGTTATAAATAAATTCCTGTGTTTGTTCCCAAATGATTTAAACGATTAACATTTCAAAATACTAACATTTTTGCTCAAAATGCTATTTTTCGTCTCTTTTTTGTTTTTTATCTTTGCTTCAATTTATCATTCGTAAGATCTGATTGTTTAGTTTTCACAAATTTTAATAATTTCTATTGTATCTCCCACACAAAGGGTCTAAATTTTGAATACCCATGAAGCTCATATAACGCGAAATTAACATTCGATTCCATTCAGACTTGGCACATCTCAATATTTCTATCAAAACAAGATCTATTATAAAGATGGAAGAGATCGGACCATTCCTTCTGGCACCTTCCCTACAAAGGGTCAATGTTTTGAATAACCAAAACGATTATAAAATCCGAAATAAGCATCAGGTTCCCTTCATATTATTTCTATATCCCATTATTTCTATTTACACAAGATCTTCTGTGAAGATGGGATATGTCGGTCAACTCCTTCCGGTACCTCCCCCACAAAGAGTCAAAATTTTCAACAATTATAACTCTTATAAAATGGGATATACGAGTCTGATTTTCTTCACTTAAAACACACACATCCCAATATTTTTATGAACACAAGATCTGCTGTGAAAATGGGGCCATTTCTTCTGGTACCTCCTCCACAAATGGTCAAGATGTTGAATAAACATGAGGTTCATAAAACGCGAAATTAACTTCCGGTTCCATTCAGACTTGGTACATCTAAATATTTCCATCAACACAAGATGGTAGGGATCGGATCATTTGTTCTGGTATCTACACCAAGATTTTGAAAAACAAAACGCTCAAAGAATGCGAAATAACCATCCAACTCTCTTCAAATTTCACACATCCAAATATTTTTGCTAACAAATGAGCTGTTGTAAAGATGATATATATATGCGAACCGCCTTCTGAACCACACCTACAAAAGAGTTACAATTTTCAATGCTTATATCTGAAATAACTTGTGAAACAAGTCTGATATGAATATGTGATTTATCGAAATTTACGATTTCGCATAGAATTGGATATAAATGTTCGACTCCTTAAAATTTTGCACATTTCAATATATTTATCTGTATTAAATGAAGTATAAAAATGTAATACTTCGGTATATATGTTACCTCACGCAATGGACCACATTTTTCAAAATTTTCCGCATATCTCATATAAAGTATAGGAATTAGTCGATATAGTCCAAATCTGGCACGTTGTAATATTTGTATCAGTCTTAGGTCAGCAGTGCGACTCTCTATGTCATTTTTTGGAGTTATCGACAAAAATCGGTAACTTTGAAACCCAAAATTTTGATATAGAATACAAGTTAAGGTTGGCAACATTGGCATCTATCGGTAGGTTTTAGCGACTACTTTAATTTCGTCGCTAGCTTACCGATAAATTTCGTTAATTACCGGTAACTCAAAAAATGATTTAGAGAATTCCACTACAGATACGAATTGGTCAATATTGTCCAACTGCTTCAAACCTCCCACATAAAGGTTTGAACAGTTTGAATAATCATCATAACACAAGGCTGGTGGTATACATCTGTCGGCAAAACCGATTGATACTATTTACTTGTTTAATAAACAATTTACCCAAATCGTTTTTTTTTTAATAAAATCAAACCCAACATTTGAAATTAAAAAAACATTTCATTTGTTTATAATATAATTTTTAAACACTTTTTGCAAAAGCATTTTTATTTAAGATTCATTTCATAATTTTACATACTTTGTTCAATATTTTTTTTTCTTTATTGTGAATTGTAATTTCTTGTTTGTTTTTTTTTTTTCATTTTTTTCTGTTTGTTTTTTTTTTTTAATATAATTGTATTAATTTAATGAAATTTCAATATATAAGTAAGTGTGTATGTAGAATAGATGGTGTAATTGTGTATTTTGGGGGTTGTTGTGTGTGTGTGTATTTAGTTTACTTATTTATTCCATTAGTAATGATGATTAAATAATTATTATGTTGAGCTATTAAAAAATAGCAAATATTAGAAAAAAAAAAAGAAAAATTATTGGATTCGTCATTGTTGTTTAAATTGTTGTTGTGGTTGTTGCTGTTAGTCAATTGCAATTGTTTAAAAAAGTGTTGTGAAAAATCTTGATATACTGATACTGATGGCAGCCTATTATAGGATATACATGTATATAAAAATATCATAAATATATTCGAATAAATTTTTAAAATATTTGATGAGAAATTTTTCTATCATCTAAACCTGTTGCAGATGTAATTTAGATGGCATTTCATCAATTGTTGAAAATGTCTTAGAATGAGGAAAAAAATTGTTTTCAAATTTTATAAAAATCATTAAATTAAAACTATTTTGAAATTCGTATTTATGATTTCAAATGAAATGCGAAATACAGAATTTCCAATTGATAAACTGTCAATCCGTATACATCGGAAAATGCTTTGAAAGTTCAATAATACCTGCATACAAAGATTTCGTATGGTTGTCCCGATGATGACCAATAAAAAGTTGGTGATAATTACGAAATTTTAGATTAGTTATTTAAATTTTCCCAAAAAAAAATTTTTTTCAAGAATGAATGAAAATCTAAAAAAAAGGTTAGAAAAAATTTGTACCGAGTGGTTGGTTGGTTGCTTGGTTTTTCCTGGTTTGTCATGAAAAAAAAATGGTATAATAGGAGAACAATTGCTAAGCAATATTATTTGCACATTTTATCGTGTTTTTTTTTTCTTTCTACAATAATTCTCTGAAAATTGTTCAGTTTTTAATATTTTATTAAAGGTTTCCAATTACAAATATATGTGTGTTGAAAATCGTTTAAAAGTGTTTGTATGCATGATTATATAGAACTAGAACTCTAAGGTATTTTTCTGTTTTTTTTTTTCTTAAAAAAAAGAAATTGCCATTTTTTTTGGGGGGGAGGGGGTTGTTTTTATCAATTGTAAGCAATTTTTATCTACACATAATATTTGTGTGTGTGTGTGAGTGGGTGTAGTAATGGAGTTTCTAAGATTTTTTTGTTTTGTTTTAATCAAGACTTACAATATAAGCAATATAAATGTTTAATATATTTTGTTTTATTCCATTTTTGTTTTGTTTGTTGTTTTTTTCATTCTGTATTTTTACTAAATAAATCATTTTTCCTTTTTCTTCTTTTTTTGTTTTTGTAATACTTAAAAAAGTTGTTGGTTTTTTTTTGTTTATTCGGTTTTATAATCTTTTTGCTAATACATTTATTTCTTGTTGTTGTTTTGTTTCCTTTTGTTAATTATAAACTAATTTTATTTTCTTTCTGAACTTAAATCATTTCATTTTTGTTTTGTTTTGCCTTGTTTTTTGTTTTCAGTTTTCATTTCATTATTGTTGTTGTTGTTTTCATATTTTTATTTTTTTCAATTGTATGAGAAAATAATTCATATTTTTTTTTTAATTCGTCATAAAAGTGCATAAAATATTTTGTGTCGAAAAAGGAGCTCCACTCCTTCAATTAATTCAATGAAATCAAATGTTGTTTTCGCTTCTATTTTTGTTTTTGTTTTCCTTTCTTTTGTTTTTTTTTGTCTAAAAAAGCTTATGTTGTGTAGTTTTGTTGTTGTTGTTTTAGTAGTACTATTACAATTATTTAACATTTAAGCAATATGTTTTCCATTTCATTTCATTTTTTTGTTATGTTTTTCCTTAAAACGTTATTCTAGGTTTCAAAAATATTCATGTGTTTTTTTTTTTTGTTTTTTCTGTTTCTTAATTGGGTTTAAAATTTCTACAATACATTTAAGAATAGGTGTGTTTTTGCGTAGTGTGTGTATAATAGTGAAATATTAATGTTTATTTTTTAATTCATTTCTTTTTTTCTGTTTTGTTTTTAAGATAAATATTAAGATTTCTCTTTTTTTTTATTATTTTTTTTAGCTTTCGCATGAAGAAATTCAATCAGATGACTTTCGCTTAGTAGTAAAATACTTGACCTGGTTTCTGTCTTTTGCGTTCTTCCAATTTGCGATTTATTTCCTGTTGACGCTCGATTTTGCTTAGAGCTCGAGCCACATAAAGGTACTTGTCACCCAATTGTTTGCCGTTCAAAGCAATAACAGCTGCCAGAGCTGATTGGGGATTTTCGAAAGCCACAAAGCCGAAACGTTTAGAACGACCCTCCTCATCGGTCATGATCTGTAATGCAAGAAAAACAAAGCGTGAATAGGTTAAATTTAATATTTCACTTTAGTTGAAAATTTATAATATAATTACACCAGAAATTAACGAAATTTGAATAAACAAGTTAAAAAAATATCAGTCGGTTTTGGCGACAGATGTATACCCCACCCCCAGCATTGAGTTATGATTATTCAAACTGTTGACCCTTTACGGGGGTGGTTCCGAAGGTGGCCAATATTGACCTAAGACTGATATAAATAATAAAACGTGCAAGATTTGGACTATATCGACTATTTCCTATACTTTATATGAAATATGTTCAAATGTTGAAAATGTGAAAATATGCGTAAGGTAACATGTATGGTCCACCCATGGTACAATAAAAAGGTAAGGTAGAGCTACCAGCTGATTACATTTTTTTTTAAGTGTGCCCGACTTCTGTCAATTTATGTATGTATTTATTGTTTTGAAAAATGAAAACAAATTATTTTCAAAACCAATGATTGGAAGACACGTATATTGCGGCTCGCGCATAGAAGCTATTAATCAGTTTAGGCATGAAATTGAAAGATTGAACAGTTTGGGTCATATTTTTGGGAGAAAATCCAGGTATTTCATACATTTTTCGCCCTATGAGCAAAATTTAAAGGAAATCGAACATTTATATGTATTTTTATGCAAAATTATAAATTTCGATATATTTTATATATTCATATCAGATTTAACCAGAAATCTGATCGCTGAATTGTTTCTTTTTTTAAATATTGAACCCTATGTGGGTGAGATACCAGAAGGAATGGGCCGATCTCTACCTTCATTATAACAGATCCTGTGTTGATAGAAATACTCAGATGTGCCGAGTCTAAGAGAAATCGGATGTTAATTTCGCCTTTTTTTTTGAGCTTAATGGATATTCAAAATTTCGAACTTTTGTGGGAGAAGTAATAGAAGGAGCGATCTAGGGTTCATAAAATTAATAGGATGTGTGAAATTTGAAAACGAATCAAACTCTTACATCACATTTTATAAGAGTTGTAATTATTCAAAATGTTGGCCCTTTGTGGGGGAGGTACTTGATGGAGTGGACCGATATTGTCCATTTTCACACTTGACCTAGCACTGACGCAAATATTAGGATTTGCAAAGTTAGAGGAAAATCGGAACATCCGATCTCTTTCTGTGCAGAAAATATATTTTTTGAAAATCTCGACCTTTTGTGGAGGAGGTACCAAAAGGAGTAGACCGGTGTATTCCATTTTAACACCAGACCTTGGGTTTATATAAATATTGGGATGTGCGAAATTTGAAGACAATCGGAATCTTAGATCATATTTTATAAGAGTTATAATTATTCAAAATTTTGATCCTTTGTGGGAGAGGCACTTGATGGAGTGGACCGATATTATCCATTACGACCAAAACGTGCCTTATCGAAATAACGGACCCTATGTCTCTTTGGACCAAATCCGTTTCAGAATATTTGGAGTCAATCTAGCGATCTCCGTCCGTCCGTTTATCTGGCTGGCTGATGGGCACGATAACTCTCGAAGGGAGTATCCGATTTGGTCCAAACTTGGTACATCGTAATATTTTTGTCAAACTTAGATCGAGTTCGGAGATGGGCAATATCGGTAAAATATATTTTTTTGCACAGAAAGAGAAATTATTTGCTCCAACTTAGCAAATATTATATTTGCGTCAGCGCTAGGTCTGGTGCGATAACTTTTATTAAAGTCTATGTTGATTCAGCACTTTATTTCAAATTTTGATTAGTACAAAGAAATACGTTCATTCTGTCCAAGTTAATAAAAATAACAACAAAACAACTAATGCAGTCGCACAGATATGACCCCAAATATAGATTCCCCTCTTCATCTAAGGACAAAAAGCTTATCATTATAATTTTTTATGTTACAAACACAAAATATCCAAAAATAATACAAAAAATATATTTCATTTTTATAATATTTATCGAATACTCAATATATGATTTCAAGGTTCTATTTTTCTAAATACTTGACAGTGCTGCTAGTAATGAACCCATGCATTTTTATTGGAAAAAGAAAAGGAACAAATACACGAACTCATCAACAACATACAGACAGACAGACATACAGCCAGTTAGTCAGTCAGTCCGACAGCCAGCGATTTTGCAGGTTTCGTACGGAAAAGAGAACAACAACCACATCGTCAGTCAATATGTTGGGGGTTGTTTGTTACAGAAAAAGACAAAAATGGAAATATATGTCTGTAGGGTTACTATTCCTTACAGCAGGCAATGGCAAGCAAAGCGGGCACAGCATAGCAAGCACATACAATAACCCCAGCATGTTTGTATTACGGTACGCAACATTTTGGAGAAATCCTATAGAAGCACACAATTACTAATTGCAGTTGGAAACAAGGAAATGTGAAATGCGCACAAGCAGAGAGCATAAAATCGCTGCGAAGAACAACTATGTGTAAAAGGATAGGGATTGTATAACATGTGAATTTGGACAAATGAACAAAAGGCAATAAAAAATAAAGACATAAAAAATAAATTATGAAGTTTGACACATGCATGGAAAATAATTTTGGAAAAAATAGGATCAGGGAATTTTGAATGCATTTCCATGTTAATTTTTTCACAAGAAATCTCTTTGCCATCACAGACAGGCTCAAAACCAGTCATAACGACAAGTTATTGAACTTTTGAACGATTTGGCAAATACTTTGATTTTCATTATTAAATGACTAAACTAATGATACACATACCTTGTGACTGGTAATACGACCGAATGGCTCAAACATTTCTCTCATATGCTGTTCCGAAAAGTCCTCATTGAAATTCTTCACGTATAAGTTCCTAAACTGGGTAGCCTTCTCCTGTTCTCGGTCACGACGTGGTATATATTTAACAACGTGAATCTTTTGGTTGTTACACAACATTCCATTGACTTTTTCAATGGCCACACGGGCTGCATCCTCCGTATCGAAATGAACAAAGCCATAGCCACGCGAATTGCCATGCTCATCCTTGGCCACATTACAGTTGAGTATGTTGCCAAAGACCGAGAACGTATCATACATGGCCTTGTTATCGATAGAACGTTCCAAGTTCTTAATATAGATCTTACCACCATCCGGAGAATTGGTACTGGAAGCACTACCCGATGAAGTGCTTCCAGCAGACAGATGGGGCGAAATCGAAGTAATATTTCCAGTACCCAGACCCATGGGAGCATGGGGCGTGCGATTGAGACTGCCAGCCAAATGATTCAAATTATTATTGGCAGCAGCCGCATGATGGCCCGTGTGGGCACCTAGATGGTGTCCCAATGGCCCAGCAGGAGTGTGTGCTGCTGGATGGTGCAACTGGGCCTGCTGGCTGGCATGATGGGCTGCAGCCAGGGGATGTCCTGCAGCGGCAGCCAGCGATGCATGGTGGTTCAATGCTGACTGCTGTTGGTGATAGTGGTGGCTCGCAGCCGGATTACCACGGAACGTCATTGAGTTGACAAACATAATCGGCAGATTTCTGTTTTGAGTTGCTGCTTGTGAAGTTGAACGCGTTAGTTTGTTTAAATTGTGCTGGGTACTTATCAAAGTGCTATAAATCGAGTTGCAGTTGATGCCGAGAATTTTGATAATCGATTTGTAAACGCTTTCAAGAAAAATAAAATTGAATTTATTTTCTCGTTCTGTAAAAATTCACCTGTATTTAACGATTAATTTTTCTTGTAAGCAATCTTTTTGTCGACTTTTCTGCTTTTGTATCCCTCTCTCTATTTTTTTCTTTCTCTGCAAATTCTCTTCTTTGTTCTCTTTGTTGTATGTGCTCTTATCTCTCTCACTTCCTTTTTTCAGGCTTTCACTTTTTCACTTTCTTCCTTCTTGATTTTCGATTTTCTTGCAGCAAATTTTTTCCAAGCTGGTTTTTCAAATGCTCTAAATTTTTTTTGTATATATTTTTCGTTTTTAGTTTTATAACTAACACTTAGCTTTTTCTTTTGTTATATGAAATAATTAACTTATATATTTATATTTTTACTTTTTATACAAAAAAAATTTAGCCAAAGTTTTTGTATATGCTGCTCTGGCTCTGTATATTTCTCTCAGAAATATGAAAAGAACAGAGTTTGGAGAAAATGCACAAGAACGCTGTGGATAACGGCGTTGGACTAGTTTTCAGCACTTGACGGCGTTAACAAATTTTGCATCAGTATTTGGTAACCGAGTTTAATTGAAATTATATAGAAAATGAAACTTCGTCGATAATTTCAGATCAAAGAGTGGAAACTACCAGATAAATTTATTTTTCATAAACTTAGATGAGAACACATAAAATGTTTTTTTAGCTGGCTTAAGTCATCGGCTGTCTTATTTGTAAAAGAACAATCATTGATTTTGAAAATATTTGTTTTTATTTTTTTTTAAACAATCAATTCATACACAAAATTGGCAGAAATCGGGTGCACAAAGTTTTAATTATTGTACCATGGATGACCTATTTTAAGTCATGGACCAAATTTAAACAGAGTCAACCTAAAACTCCAATATTCTTTTACGAAAAATCCACCGAATAGCTAACGTGAGAAAAGTCCTTTACGTATCTATACCTCTATTTAATTTTATTATTTCATTTCATTTTTATTATTATCATTCAATTTTTAAGAAAGATTAAGGTGAGGATATATAAAACGCTTCTTCGACTGGCTTAAACCATCCGCTGGCTTCTTTGTAAAAGAACAAAGGAGCTTTAAGTGGGCTTAACTCAATATCGGCTCATAATTTATAGTTGTCAATCCTACGCTCCTTTGTTGTTTTACAAACAACCCAGCCTAAGACCAGTAAAAAAGCCTTTAATGTACTCTTCTGGGAGAAAACTATATAATCGTATTATTTTATGTGTCATCTTCTGTTTATGATTTTTTAAGATTTTCAATACTATTTACTTTGTGAAATTCGGCTTAGTGGAAGCAGGTTTAAGGGGTTTTAAAACAAAAAATTTTGGTTGTAATGTCTGGCTACCAGGATCCATCCTCCAAAATTGGAGTCGACTGAAATATTTTCTGAATATCACATTGGTTTTCAATGCTATCATTGAAAATATGCAACTTAGTCCTCATTTTATAGTGAATAGTCTCGACTTGAGCTCTCACTTGTCAGTGATTAGCAGAGCCATATGTTATCATTATTCAGTGAATACACATCGTGATATCATTTTTTAGTGATTAAATATTGTAGTACGTCCATAAAACATTTTCAAGGGCGGCAATTGTTTGCTAAAATCAATAGGATTAAATAAAATTATATCAACAAAATATATTCAATTATTCTATTTCATAAAACACACAGAAGATGACCAGGTATGTGTTTTTGCAATAAGTCTTGTATTCGTTCACCGTCTAATGTTTTGTTTGTATTCTTGTTCTAACCTCGAAATTTTTATGTTGTTCTCTCCCTTGTGGTGGTGCAAATAATGCAGAGCTAGCATCGAACTGGGCGATGTAACTCCCCATAATATCAAACAATTGAAAAAACTAAATACTGTGGTGTTTCCCGTATCCTATAATGACAAGTTCTATGTTGATGTCTTAGAGGCTGGTGAATTAGCTAAATTGGCATATTACAATGATATTGTGGTTGGTGCAGTATGCTGTCGCATCGATACATCGGAAAATCAACGACGTCTGTACATAATGACTCTGGGCTGTTTATCACCTTATCGTAGGCTGGGCATTGGTACCGTCATGTTCCAACATATCTTAAACTACGTGGAAAAGGATGGTAATTTTGATAGTATTTTCTTGTAAGTTGCTGATGATTATGTGTCGTGGAGTTATTTAACTATTTATTTTCCTTTTGTGTTTTTAGGCATGTCCAGGTGAATAATGACAGCGCCATAGAATTCTACAAAAAGTTTGGTTTCGAGATTGTTGAAACCAAAGAACACTACTACAGGCGTATCGAGCCTGCCGATGCACATGTGTTGCAAAAGACTCTACGCAAAACTGCTCCAGATGCCAATCAGACCAATGTTCATTGTAATGGTCAAACAGAGAAAAGAGAGAAAAAGGCTTAATTCGAAATAAAAAAAAAATTGTTACCACGCTGTTGGGGTCACTGAATTACTTAAATTGCGCGCGTTTGCTTGCGAACCATGTCGCATTATTCACTCTTCCCAAGAAAACACATACAAACAAACTACACACACCGATCGGAAACCAATTATCATAATTTATATATATATTAGAAAACACAAAATGGAACAATTTTCAAATGGACTCGTGTTAAAACAATAAAATAATATGACACATTTTATGTTAAGATATATTGAAAAATCCAATCCTCTTATGTTTTAAGTTAGACGGATTCTATGTTCTGCACTGTAGCTCTACAAATGACTCAGCCAGCAATCGGAAGCAAGTATATTTGATTTGAGCGATATTAATACTGAAATTGTGGATGAGGCGGTGGCTATAAAAGTTAGGTACAATTAGTGTACCTTCACACTGAAATGAGGTTTTGAATGGTCGAGTTGATTTTGAAAAACTCTTTGTAACTTGGGCTGCACGAATCAGGTAAATGTATATTCCTGGATGCTTTTAAGACCGTGGTAGTTTCATCTCTTCGAATTTGTGAAAACTTTGCCTAATTTTGATAAAGCTTCCAATAATGTGCCATCCGACTTGTTCCAAAACTGCAAGAGTATAAGCAATATTACTTCGATAACCGATTTTCCCTTTATCATATCAAAATGCAAAACTAGTAGATTGTTAGGTTTTGGAACACACCAAATATTCCAAGCCACCTAAATTCCAATTAAGACAATACGACACAATTGGAATTTTTTAGGCTTTCTGTCCTTTGTTTTCACGTTCTTCGATGCTCAACTGTGCTCTTTTCTTAAGTAGAAACAGCTGTTAGTTTTCATGAACATTAATTTTTCGGTCTTGAGAACCCTGGTTTTTGGTTGTTTATTTCTTTTCTGGTTAGTGAAACGGCGGGAAGAAGTATTTTCTTTTTTTTATAAAAAATAAATCAAATTCCCTCCGTAATGACGATAAAAAATTTCAATATTGGCTTATTGGGTCATGTGGACTCGGGCAAAACTTCATTGGCGAAAGTTTTAAGTGAGATTTCCAGCACAGCGGCTTTTGACAAATCCAATCAATCTCAAGAACGGGGTATTACATTGGATTTAGGTTTTAGTGCCCTCATCATCGATGCCCCACAGAGAATCAAAGAGGAGAATTCAAATATTGAAAAACTGCAGTTGACATTTGTAGATTGTCCGGGCCATGCAAGTTTGATTAGGACAATTATAGGAGGTTGGTAAATTGGAACATAAATGAGTATGGGTACAATTTCTTTTGATTTTTTCCAACAGGTGCCCAAATTATCGATATGATGATCTTGGTTATCGATGCCCAGAAAGGTATACAAACCCAGACGGCTGAGTGCATTGTAATTGGAGAGCTTTTGAAAAGGAAACTAATAGTTGTGGTGAATAAGATCGATACCTTGGAGGCTGGTGGGAAACGCGAATCGAGCCTTAAAAAACTTGACACTAAGTTGAGGAAGGCCCTTTCTGCCACAGTGTTTGGCGACAGTTTTCCCATTTTCCATGTTTCGGCTCTAAGTGGCGAGGGTATTTCGGAATTTTTACAAGGCATTACAAGTAACGTCTTTCTTCCTCAACGTCAACGAGATTTGCCATTTTTAATGTATGTGGATCATTGTTTTTCCATCAAGGGTCAAGGTAAGCTTGAAATTTGATTATAAATTTCTTTTCATGTAAAAGAACAAGTGGCAAATGAAAAGGCGGTTCATACATTAAAAATCGATTCAAATATAGCCCCAACGTACCAGGCACGAGAGCATTTAATAATGCTGATCCCCATAATGTCTTGCTGTACTATTGTTATACAATCCACCATAGTATGGAGGGTATATTAAGTTTGTCATTCCATTATACATTTTAGACCCCACATAGTATATATATTCTTGAGCAGCATAAAATTCTATGTCTATTCCCGTCCGTCCGTCTATCTGTCTGTCCGTCCGTCTGTGGAAGTCACTAGCTTCCGAACGAAATAAAGTAGGTTGATAATATTTTACTCAAATGTATATTATGTCTGCAGTACTTTTGGTATTGTAGGTCCACGTCTTCGTATAGCCCTCATATAACAACACCTCCCTATATTCGGTATTTTAATTATTTTAGATACATTATTTGCTGGAATTGTTTCAAATTATGTATTTAAAGTTCGTAATGGATACTACAGCCTGAGACAGAAAATTGTCTGTGCGGGTCCACGTCTTCGTATAGCCCCCATATAACGACACCTCCCTATATTCGGTATTTTAATAATTTTAGCGACATTATTCACCGAAGTTATTTTAAATTACGTATTTAGAGTTCATAATGGGAACTACAGTCTGTGAAGGAGATTTTCTATGCAGGTCCAGGTCTTCGTATAGGCCCCACATAGTAGTACCTCCCTATATTCGGTATTTTAACGATTTTAAGTACAGTATTCGCCGAAATTATTTGAGATTTCGTATTTGAAGTTCCTAATAGACACTACAGCCTGCGACAGAAAATTGTCTATGCAGGTCCAGGTCTTCGTATAACCTCCATATAACGGCACCTCCCGATATTCGGTATTTTGATGATTTTAGCGACATTATTCAGCGGAATTGTTTCAAATTTGATATTTGAGGTTCGTAATGGACACTACAGTTAATGGCAGAAAATTGTCTATGCATCGTCGTATAGACCCTAATATAACGGCAACGGCAAAGGAGCTTGAAATTGTCTGGTATATTTTATCTAATAGACTTAAAATATAAAACGTTCATATGGAGGCATATCTTTCAAATGCCCAATGAGATGGACGATGTTCTGAAGCCAATCTTAGAAGTTTGCATAACAAACATATAGATCCTTTCCTCCAGGGATTGAATGGCAGTAGTAACACATGCTTCGGTATGTAAACCTTTCTGATTAAATAATAAAAAAGACCGAATCAAGTTTTCATCGAAGGATGAAAGTGATAATCTTTAAATCATTTAACACATCATAGAAGTGCCCATAAATCACTCATCCAAAAAATAAATAAATCAAAAAATGATTCCAATGTGACATTCATTTCTATGTAGGCACAATCTGTACTGGAACTGTAATTCAAGGATGTGTCAGTGTTAACGATTCCATTGATATACCAAAAATAAAAGAGCAACGTAAAATCAAGTCAATACAAATGTTTCGTAGACCTGTGCAAACCGCCGAAATGGGTGATCGTATTGGAATCTGTGTTACCCAGTTCAGTGCCAAGGCCATGGAACGTGGCATTGTGTGTCAAACGGGTTATATGCAATTAATTTATGCTGCTCTCATCCAATTCCATCGCATACAATTCTATAAATTTGCCATAAAATCAAAAACAAAATTACACATAAGTGTTGGACATGAGACGGTAATGGCAAATATAACTCTGTTCAAATCTATGCAAAAGTCAACTACGACATTTGATGCTTCTCTGGAATATGAATACATTGATGAGTTGGATGCGGATGGGATAAAAGAAAATGACGATTTAATTTTTTGTCTTTTGGAATTTGAAACACCCATTTACGCCACCAAAGATTCACTGTTAATTGCTTCCAAATTGGATTTGGACATACACAGCAATTGTTGTCGTTTGGCTTTCTGGGGCAACATAGAATGGTATACGAATTCAACGGACTATCTCAAAGTGCAGCTGCCATCATGGAAGATATACAAGAGCAAGGAAAAACGTGGAAATGTCCAGCGACTGGTTAACGATCATGAGATTATTGTCCAGAATCTATTTAAAAAGGAATCAAATCGTCAAATATACATTGGAAAAAAGATACAACTCTCAACGGGGGAACGGGGACAAATCGAAAGCACCTTTGGTCAAACTTCTAAAGTGAAAATAACATTTGCCGAGAGTCTAAAGGAAGACACTGTGCGAATGTTAAAAGAAGGAAAATTTAATGATGTGACGGTTGTACTTAGATATAAGAAATATGTATACAATAAAAGTTTGGGTATAATCCAATAAAACAAAAAATTAAGGTATTTTTATTTTAATTGAATTAAATGAAAAGGAGTTAACATTAAATACGTCATTTCCCTTTATCACACCCCTAAATTTTCGTCGGAGACTCCTCAAAGTATATATATATATATTCCCGATCAGCATCACATACAAGCCTGCGTGTTGAAAGCAAGATACAGCCCACATTATTTGACGTAGAGATTTGACATTTTTTACAATAGTTTGAATTGTGTTTACAGGTTGAGATAAAAAAACTGCATTTTTTTAATTTTATTGAATGAAAGCAAAAAATGTCGGAAATAGCATAAAATTTTAGAATAAGTTTAGATTTGTTCGAATTGGTCACCTTTGACATGAATTATGGCCTTCAAACGGCCAATGAAAACGTCACACGCTGCCCAAATGTTGCTCTGGGATATTTGGCCCGTTCACGGCGAAACGCTCGCGCTTGAGGTGATCGACACTTTGGCATTTTTTAGTACCAACCTTGCATTCCAAAATACTCCAGGCAAATAGTCCAGCCAATTGGTATCCGGAGATTTTGGTGGCCACTGTGCGCTGGAAATGAAAAATTTTGTAACCATTCTAGGGTGGCGCGTGCTGAGTGCAATGGTGCTGAGTCCTGTTGGAATGTCCAAGGTCTGGGGCCAAAATGTTTGCGTGCCCAAGGCTTTAATAAACCCTCAGGATATTTTCGCGATAATATTCGGCATTTATTCCGATGCCACGGTCGATTAATACGAACGGAGAGCGACCATCGGCTGTTATGGCGGGACACACCTCCATCATGGCAATCACTCTAACTTCCGAACGAAATGAAGTAGGTTGATAAAATTTTACTCAAATATATATTATGTCTGCAGGACTTTTTGTGTTATTATTGAAAATGGGCCATGTAGTTCCACGTTTTGGTATAGCCCACATACAATGGTGCCTCCCTATTTTCGGTATTTGGATGATTTAAGCGACATTATTCACCGGAATTGATTCAAAGTTGGTATTATATATGATATATTGGTATATGGTATAATGGATACTACAGCCTATGACAGAAAAATGCCTATGCAGGTCCACGCTTTCGTATAGCCCCCATATAACCGTACATCCCGATATTCGGTATTTTGCTGATTTTAACGACATTATTCACCGGAATTTTCTCAAATTTGGTATTTGAAGTTCGTAATGGATACTACAGCCTAAGACCGAAAAATTTCTGTGCATGTCCACGACTTCGTATAGCCACCCAGATAATGGTACCTCTCTTTTTTTGGTATTTGGATGATTTAAGCGACTTTATTCACCGGAATTTTTTCAAATTGGGTATTTGAAGTTCCTAATGGATACTACAGCCTATGACAGAAAATTGTCTGTGCAGGTCGACATCTTTGTATAGCCCCATATAATTGTACCTCCCGATATTCGGTATTTTGGCGATTTAAGCGACATTATTCACCGGAATTGTTTCAAATTTGGTATTTGAAGTTTGTAATGGATACTACAGCCTAAAACCGAAAATGGCCTGTGCATGTCCACGTCTTCGTCTAGCCCCCAGATAATGGTACTTCTCTTTATTTGGTATTTTTATGATATAAGCGACATTCTTTTTCAAGTTTCTCATTTGAATATTGTATTGGCTTATGGCAAAAGTTGCCTATGCAGGCCCACGTCGTCGTGTATACCCCCAACATAACGGCTACATTCGGTATTTTTAAGATTTTAGCAGAATTTTTAACGGATTTTATTTTTTTCTTGGAAATTGCCAAATTTGTAGCAAATGGTGGAGGGTATTAAAAGTTCGGCCCAGCCAAACTTACAAATTTTTTATTATTTTTTTTGTTTTAATTCGGTATTTGTAGTTCATAATGCTCTCTGCTACCGGTATCAGAACATTTTCCATATTGATCCATATTGTGGGGTTTCCATTAGCCCCCACATATGGATAACGCCGGATATTTAGTATTCTGATGATTCTGATTACATTTTCAAAGGACGGTAGCAGTCCATGTAGTAGCGTCACCGACTGCTCTTTGGCCGAGGGTATTGAAAGTGCGAGACGACTGATTATAAGGTTTTTTTATTTGTTTACAATATGCTGGGCTACAATTGGTCCTAGCTTCGTATTATGTCTTTGTATTTGTTGCTAACAGGCAAAAGGAAACGAGATAGACCCATTGGTCCTTTTGATAATCTGCATAGAATCACATTCTGAGTCGATTTATGCATGTCCGTCCGTCCGTCGGTCTGTCTATGTATTTTTGTAAACCAAGTACAGTTCGCATTTATTACCCGGTCCAGATGAAATTTTGTACAAATCATTTGTTTGGCCCAAGGACGAACCCTATTGAAATTGGAGATAATCCGTAAAAATTTAGATATAGCCCCCATTTATATCTTCGTCCGATTTGCCTTTTGTTATGCATCAAACGTGTGATATCAGCCCGAATAGTATGGAATTTTGCACATACAACCAAATTAGGCCTGCAAATAAGTATGCCAAATTCGATCGAAATCGGTTCAGATATAGTTATAGCTCCCATATATATTGTTCATCCGATTTGTTATTTTTGACCTCCGCAGCCGTGATATGCACTCCGTAACAACGATATTCAGGGAAATATATCAAATGCAGCTCAGAAATATCTTTGCCAAATTTTATCGAGATATAGCTCCCATATATAACTTCGTCCGATTTACCTTTGATTGTGCACCATACATCTAATATTTGCCCAAATTGGATAAAATTTGGCACTTACGACCGAATCGAGTCTAGAAGCTAGTATGTCAAACTTGGTGAAGATCGGTTCAGATATAGCTATAGCTCCCATATATATTGTTCATCCGATTTGTTATTTTTGTCCTCCGCAGCCGTAATATGCACTCCGCAACAACAATATTTGGGGAAATATATCAAATACAGCTCAGAAATACATTTGCTAAATTTTATCGAGATCGGTTCCGATTTGGATATAGCTCCCATATATATCAAAATTATTTCTGTATACTAAGTCGGTTTTTTGAAACTGGATCAGTAGTAACAGTCCATAACGGATGAAGGCCGTGAAAAACTTCAGAAATAATGAGAGAAATAAAAAACAACTATTTAAGAGTTCAACTGGATTGGTGAGAGAGCAATCATTGCATATAAGCTCGAGATCAGTGCGTAGACGAGTAGTGGCAGTTGGTCTGCATGCCCGTAAGATATCAAAAAACCATTTATATCTGTTTATAAAAAATCGAAAAGGCTTTCGGAAACGATAATATTAAGTTGAATCAAGCTCAATGGAAAAAACATTATTTCTGCGATGAGTCTACGTTTAATATTAAAGGTTCAGATGTGAACAATTTTGCGGTGAGAAGACCAAAAAATGAACGACTCAAGCCGCAGTATTGCAAAGGTACAGTGAAGCATGAGGGAGGGTCAAAAATGGCGTGGCGCTGTTTTTCTTTCTATGGACTTGGGCCTATCCATAAAATAAAGGAAGTCGTGGATCGGTTTGTTTACAAAGATATGTTGGACATCACGTTGTTCCATTACGCTGAGTAAAATATTCGGCTGATTTGGGTGTTTCAGCATAACAATGATCCCAAACTTGTATCAAAACTTGTCAAATATTGGTTGAGGGAGTCAAAAATGCATGTTTTGTTATGGCCGGCACAATCACCTGACCTAAACTCCTTAGAAAACCTTTGGAGTATCGTAGATAGGAAGATCAAGAGAGATTCGGAAATAAATAAGCACAACATTTTCTAAAGAATTCGGGGTGTCTGGGAAAGCACACCCAAGGATCAAATTGAGCGTGTTATAGATTCGATGCGTCGTAGGTGTGCAGCTGCTATCAAAAATAATGGTTATGCTGTCGACTACTAGCCAAAATTTAATTATTTTAAAATAAAAAATCAAAAGTTGCTTTAGTTTTGACCAAGCAAAAATTGGGTCATTTTAGTTTTCCATATATTATTTTTCGTTCAAAATTATTTTTTTTTATTTTTAGTTTCTTGAAAGTGAATGAAACCCCTCATTTAAAACTGGAAAAATAATTACGATTTGTTTATTTTTGTAAAAGTTACAGAACATTTATTGTCTTTGCGATTTAAGTTGCTTTAGTTTTGGCCACCAGTGTATGTAGGTGTGTACAACATCAAGCTATACAACGACGTCATACAGAACTTGATATTCTCTGGCAATGGTGAGTTATAAACTAAAAACTAGCTTCTGGTAAAATGTCTTCAAGTGAGTAGTTGGCTAATTTATGGCGGAATAACCGTTGAATGAAAAAAATCCACAATTCAAACACCCCCCTCCCCTCTCCTTGAAAATGAAAATTAAAATTTTTTTATTTAATTTTCGGCCGTGATTGATTTTAATTCATCTAGGCATTCATTCTTAAGGCAGATGGCTAGGAAATTGTTGGATTGATCCAAGAGGGGGGAGAAGAAAATGTAGTTGAATATTATTTAAATGTACAATTATTGAATAACAATTAAGAAATTATTTTTTTTTTGCTAATTTTAAGAAGCTTCATTCGAATATAAGAAGCTATGGAGGTGGTGAAGTAAAAGTCAGTGTATTTTCGTTAAGCCAGGCAGTAGGATTGTGTGAAATATGTGGAGTGGAAAAATATTGCCGGTTTTTTTGGTTATGCTTGTGGTGCGAAGTGGAGCCACACCCACATTTAAGAAATCATTTGGAGTTGCAACCCATCCAGGTTATGCCCAGCCTCAACCCCAGCCAACCTATGTGACACAAGCTCAACCAGTCTATGTTGCTGCTCATCCAGCTCCAGCTCCACCACCACAGAGGCCAATTGTTGTACAAGTCCAACATCCAGCTCCAGCACCTCCACCACCCAGGCAAGTAGTTGTGCAACATCCGGCACCAGCTCCTCCACCACCAAGACAAGTTGTTGTCCAGCCAGTTATCTATAGACCCGTGGTGCAACATCCAGCTCCAGCACCACCCCCACCACCCAGACAGGTTGTCGTCCAACCTGTAATTGTGAAACCTGTTGTTCAACATCCAGCACCACCACCCAGACAGGTTGTTGTTCATCCCCAACCCCAACCGCAACCATATAAGGTTAAGCCCATTGTTGTAAAGCCCATTATCGTCAAACCCGTTATTGTGAAGCCACCAAAGAAGCACCACTAGACTTAAATGAGACAGGATTCGAAATCCAAACAAATATTTAATAAAAGTTATTTATTCGAAAATCTGTTTCCCGGCCTTGAAATTATTTTGGATTTTGTTGTTATTAAGCAAATCCAAATTGCAAATTAATATAGGAAACCTTATTTAGCAGGACTGAATTAATCTTATCTTCTAGGACCTTCAGCCTTCCTTGGGCGGAATGAGCTTTCCTTTGGAAAAAATAAAATTGATTAAATTCAATTTATTTAAAAATTTCTTTCCTGGTATTATTTGGAAATAGCCACACTTGGTTTTGTTATACCCTACAACATTCTATGGTGGGTATAGAGGATGAGATAAAAAAAAACTGCAACAAATCAAAAGCCATTATTTTTACATTTTTTTTCAATTTTATTGAATGAAACCAAAAATGTCGGAAATAGCATTAAATTTTAGAATAAGTTTAGATTTGTTCGAATTGGTCATATTTACTAAGGTCCGATTTGAAATGTACAATATTTGCCCCCTCCTTCGGAAACTACTACATAGAGGGACAACAGTTTGAATAATCGGAACAGAAGTTAAAATATGTTTATACCCTACACCACAAGGTGGTCAGGGTATTATGTCTTTGTGCATTTGTTTGTAGCAGGCAAAAGGAAACGAGATAGACCCATAGTTCCTTTTAATGGTCTGCATAGAATCACACTCTGAGTTGATTTATGCATGTCCGTCGTCTATACGTCCGTCCGTCTGTCCATGTATTTTTGTGAACAAAGTACAGTTTGCATTTTTTACCTGATCCAGATAAAATTTTGCACAAATCATTTGTTTGGCCCAAGGACGAACCCTATTTAAATTGGAGATAATCGGTAAAAATTTAGATATAGCCCCCATATATATCTTCGTCCGATTTGCCTTTTATTGTGCACCAAACGTGTAATATCCGAACGAATATTATGGAATTTTGCACATACAACCAAATTAGGTCCGAAAATAAGTAAGACAAATTTGATCGAAATCGGTGCAGATATAGCTATAGCTCCCATATATATTGTTCATCCGATTTGTTATTTTTGTCTTCCGCAGCCGTAATATACACTCTGTAACAACAATATTTAAGGAAATATATCAAATACTGCTCAGAAATACATTTGCTAAATTTTATCGAGATCGGTTCGGGTTTAAATATATGTCCCATATATAACTTCGTCCGATTTACTTTTTATTGTGCACCAAACGTCTAATATTTGCCCAAATGGGATGGCATTTGGCACATACGACCGAATTGAGTCTAGAAGCTAGTATGCCAAATTTGGTGAAGATCGGTTCAGATATAGCTATAGCTCCCATATATATTGTTCATCCGATTTGTTATTTTAGTCCTCCGTAGCCGTAATATGCACTCTGTAACAACAATATTTGGGGAAATATATCAAATACAGCTTAGAATAAACTTTGCTAAATTTTATCGAGATCGGTTCGGATTTGAATATATCTCCCTTATAACTTCGTCCGATTTACCTTTTATTGTGCACCAAACCTCTAATATTTGCCCAAATGGGATGGAACTTGGCATTTACGACCGAATTGAGTCTAGAAGCTAGTACGCCAAATTTGGTGAAGATCGGTTCAGATATAGCTGTAGCTCCCATATATATTATTCATCCGACTTGTTATTTTAGTCCTCCGTAGCCGTAATATGCACTCTGTAACAACAATATTTGGGGGAATATATCACATACAACTCAGAATCACCTTTGCTAAATTTTATCGAGATCGGTTCGGATTTCGATATATCTCCCATATATAACTTCATCCGATTTACAGTTAACTGTGCACCAAACATCTAATATTTGTCCAAATTGGATAAAATTTGGCACTTACGACCGAATCGAGTCTAGAAGCTAGTATGTCAAATATGGTGGATATCGGTTCAGATATAGCTATAGCTCCCATATATGTTGTTCATCCGATTTGTTATATTTGTTACCCACAACCGTAATATGCACTCCGTAACAACGATATTCAGGGAAATATATCAAATACAGCTCAGAAATATCTTTGCCAAATTTTATCGATATCGGTTCAGATTTGGATATAGCTTCCATATATAACTTCGTCCGATTTACCTTTTTATTGTGCACCAAACGTCTAATATTTGCACAAATTGGATGAAATTTGGCACTTACGACCGAATTGAGTCAAGAAGCTAGTATGTCAAATTTGGTGAAGATCGGTTCAGATATAGCTATAGCTCCCATATATACTGTTCATCCGATTTGTTATATTTGTTACCTACAGCCGTAGTATGCACACTGTAACAACAATATTTGGGGAAATATATCAAATACAGCTCAGAAATACCTTTGCTAAATTTTATCGAGATCGGTTCAGATTTGGATATAGCTTCCATATATATCCTTATCCGATTTAAAATTAATTGTGCACCAAAAGATACAAATGCTTCGGCATATTTAGTAGTTTTAACTTTAAATTAAAATTATAATCATGGCGTGTATGGTTGAATTCTCCCATAAAAACTTTTAAATGTTATGCGGAGCTCTACTAAATTAGCAAAGTTGTGTAGGGTGTCATAAAGTCGGTCCCGCCCGAATTTAAGACTTTCTTTACTGTTTTTTTTTTTATAAAATATTTCATTAAAGTTATAAGTTTTTTTAATTAAAGTTATATTTTTTAGAATTATATCATTATTGGATATATGCGGCTAATGAATGTGCGGACTTTTGTGAAACAGAAGGACATTTCCATAAATATGCATTTCCATACTCTAATCATCCGCAAATGTCAATCGAATAGACGCGTAATCATCATTTGTTGCTAACTAACGATGTATACACCCGTTGAGCGTGTCACATAATCCCCCCCACACACAACGCCACAACTCTTGTCTGTAATAAAAAATAGCAAAAAAGGATGCTTGTTCTGCGGATTAGAAATTTGTTTCATTTGATTATTTGTTGCTAGCTGCCCGCCTTTTTGCCAACTGCCACTGTTATTACCATTATTTTTCTAATATCAATAATCTATGAATGTTTGGAAATTTATACTCATTTGTCTCTCGCTCTCTCTTCCTTTGGCTTTTTTTTAGATGGTAATCAAGTGAATGTGGTTAAAGGATTCTATGCTTTCCTCTGCTCTGCTGTTCTATTCATCAAGATTGTAGTGTCATAATCATCCGGCAATTGTATCAAACATGGTAATTTATATCTGCGCGAAGATGGCCAATTTCTTTGGAATTTACACATCAAAGACAATGGGTTTCACATGCAGTCAGTCAGTCCGACAGACAGTCATTCAGACCCTTTGGTATTTCGCCTAGGTATAAATATTTCCTCAAATGCGGTTAAATGTATCACAACGTCTTAGCCAGTGGTTCGTAGCAGAACATTCCCAGCGCTGAATTTTGGATATCTGTGAAGTTATATTTTATCAAACAACAAAAAAATGGTAAGTGGCATATTTTCCGAAAAAAAAATTCAACAAAAAAAAATTTTAAAAAAATATTTGTTTTTGGATTTTCTGAGAATTTAAAAATTTGCTAAATTCAAGGTTTTTTTTTTATAAAAACCCGAGTTCTCTAGTTTTTCTATAAAAAAAAACCTTAATCCAGCCGTGGGGGCTGAATTGAAGATTTTCTCTAGAAAACCTTAATCCAGCCGATGGGGCTGAATTGAAGATTTTCTATAGAAAACCTTAATCCAGCCGAAGGGGCTGAATTGAAGATTTTCTATAGAAAACCTTAATCCAGCCGAAGGGGCTGAATTGAAGATTTTCTATAGAAAACCTTAATCCAGCCGAAGGGGCTGAATTGAAGATTTTCTATAAAAAACCTTAATCCAGCCGAAGGGGCTGAATTGAAGATTTTCTATAGAAAACCTTAATCCAGCCGAAGGGGCTGAATTGAAGATTTTCTATAGAAAACCTTAATCCAGCCGGGGGCTGAATTGAAGATTTTCTATTGAAAACCTTAATCCAGCCGGAGGGGCTGAATTGAAGATTTTCTATAGAAAACCTTAATCCAGCCTGGGGGCTGGATTGAAGATTTTCTATGGAAACCCTTAATCCAGCCGGGGGGCTGAATTGAAGATTTTCTATGGAAACCCTTAATCCAGCCGGGGGGCTGAATTGAAGATTTTCTATGGAAACCCTTAATCCAGCGGGGGGCTGAATTGAAGATTTTCTATGGAAACCCTTAATCCAGCCGGGGGGCTGAATTGAAGATTTTCTATAGAAAACCTTAATCCAGCCGGGGCTGAATTGAAGATTTTCTATAGAGAACCTTAATCCAGCAGGGTTTAATTCGTTTTTTTATGACAAGAAGATCTTGGCCAAATTATTATTGTTTTTAAACTTTGTTGTTGTTAATTTATTAAATAATTTTACACGTTTTCAATTTCTTCAATATTGATTTAATTGCTAATTAAAATTGAAATTCTATTGAAATGACTTATTATCATCGCTCGCTGATGATTGATATTCAATCTCATTCTTGGCATGCAACAAGCATGCCTTCGTCAGTCAGTCGGTCCGGTATTCAGATATTCATAATCGTTGTTGGTCATTTCAAATAAATTTTTGAAATATTCCACTGTTTGTGAAAACATTTAATGTCCATGCGGCGATCATGGAATACCAACAAGTCAGCAGAGAGGGAGAGAGAGAGAGAGAGAGAGGAGAGAGTGAGAGTGCAGAAAGTTTGCAATATGCATAGAAGGAAGCAAAACCAGCCTCCATTGATCGTTAGTTATGCCATAAAAAAATGGTTGGCGGGAAGGAAGAGCTTTGTTTTTTTGTCACAACGCTTATTGCGATTATTGGGATGTCGTTGGACACACATTGTTTTTTAAAACAAATCTAGTTTGTTTTCTGGTATTTTTTGTCGCTGCTGTTGTTATTATGACTGGTGTCTCACCTGCGGTATTTAACTGTGTAATTCGATTTACATCAGACATTTAGACGCTCCATAGCGTTTCAGAAAATCGTGATTACGATTGCGA